TTCTCTATTAATTTTTTGTTGTTGACATTATTCTATTTTCTGTAAACCCCCATCTAGACCTTCATGTGTTCCCGAGCTAAGTAGCAGCTCAAAGAGCTTTTCTCATAATTACATTTCGCGGAATGAATTGTGACGTAAAATATTTGTGACGTAAAATAATCTCAATCTTGGATGAAAAAGTAAAAGTACATGATGATACCGATCTAACAAGTATGGTGATAAAATATCTTGACAGTTGACCAGTTTAATATGTAAGTTATTTTTATATTTCCATCGTTCGGTACTTTTTTGTGAATAAACTGAAACAAGTTGGCTTAGCTTAAATCAGTTATAAAATTGGCTACAGAAGAATTTTTATACGGATTGCATTAAATATAAAAGGTATGATTGCCAATGAGACAACTATCCACCAGCGTTCAAATGAAGTGAACGTAAGCAATTATAGGCCAACATACGGCCTTCAACAATGAGAAGCACAATACCGTATAGTTGGCTATATATTTAAAGGCACCGACGTGAAAATTTGAAAAAAAAATCAAATGAGAAAACTAACGGCCTGACTTAAAACAGAACAGTTTACAAAAAACAAATATGACAGACATGAACCAACGACAACCACTGAACTACAGGCTCCTGACTTGCGAAAGGCACAAAACATGTTTGTGAGCGCTCATACTCCACCCCCAACCCTTTTTTCTCCTAACGTGGGACAGTGGTGTAACATCATAACATAAGAACAAAATGTTTAATCAGTTGCAATTGGCTTAACTCAAAAGATCGATGCAAGGCACAAAAACAACTAACATAAATAAACAACATACAAAAAACACAGTAATAAGAGTACTCGCGCAGTTACTGAAAACTAGTTCAACTAGCTAGTTTAACCAGTCAGTTAAAATAGATATTCGACTGAAAACGTTCCAGAAATATAAAAGTACAAAAATACGAAATGCAGGGAAGGATATAAAAGCTCGCCTAAAATATCATTTGATAATTTATATTTCAATTCGTAGCAACAAAAAAAAAAAATGATTGAAAGAAAGTATACCAAAGGAATTGAAATTTATCAATGTTTACATATTTAATTAGCCACGATATTTCCAGGCTTATAGGGGTACCTTGTCTTAAATTGGCTTTTTGCACATACTGAAACAAAACACTCTGTCATGTTATTATGACCTTTTTGTTGTAATAACAATGAAACTAGTCTTTTTGAATATCGGCATAATGAGACTATTTGATGACGACGGCACTAATTTATAAAATACAAAATTTTTGTATTTTATTGACGCTTAGTTATCTCCAACAGCGTATTTGAATACAGATTTCAAATGAATTAAATTAACTACAATACAAACGGTTCTTATCTATCTTTTAGAAAATCTAATTTAAACTTGTAATAAAGTAACTAGTATAAAATTTGTCAAAGAAAGCTTTTAGAATTGTTTTTTTTAAAATTTGTCTTCTAACTTAGATTTATGGTGCTTGTCTCTACACAACATAGCATGCGAAGCGTAACAGTTCTAATATATGCATTTGATACGGTGCATTTATTATGACATATTTTAAACTCCATTTTAATATGAAAATCTATAGAGTAGAGAATTTTGATTTTTTTTAATGAATTTCATATGTAAATCAAAATTCAAACGATAACATAAAAGTTCTTCAAAACTTATATAGGATGTATAGTTCAGTGCTAACAACAACAAAAAAAGGAGCCAAGGAAAAGTGTTAGGCATACTCTCTTCTTCACAAATACCTATTCAATTGAATCGCAATGAAATTGAAGGAATCATCCGAAACAGTTATAGATTTGTAAATGATTGATTTACCTTCAATTTATATATTATTTTTACCGGGCTTAAACTTACGAAGTCAGAAGCGGATTTTTATATCTATTTCTTTCTTTTTTTTCTTTTAGTATTGGGGGGGGGGGGGGGGGGGGGGTCGGCCGCAGCTACATCTATGGTGAATGCATACAATTTTCAAATGCCACTCCTAACGTTGTCATGATACCCCACCCTTTTTAAAATCCTTAAACTGCAACTAGAAGTTCATTACTAATATATTTTAAATATACGATGCAAACCTATTTTACGACTTCTTTGGACTTCTATGATAAATACTGTGTCTGGTCTTTTCCGTTTATTTATGGGGTAACTGTACATCGCATACATTCACGTCAATCGTTTTATACCAACTAACTGTCCCTAGTATAGATAAATTTTATTTCTTTAAATCCTTTTAAGAAGATTGTATTCTTATGGAAAAAACAATATTTTACAGTTCATGACAAATTTATGTAGACAAAAGCGTTGAAAATAATATGTGATGGGATGGGGAGTATTAAGTGGCTATGATTTTATAAAAATAAACAGATGTGGTAAGATTGCCAATGAGACAACTCTCCACCAGAGACCAACTGACGTAGAAATTAACAACTATAGGTCACCATACGGCCTACAACAATGAGTTAAATCCATACCGCATAGTAAGCTAAAAAATGTCCCGAAATGACAAATGTTAAACAATTCAAACGAGAAAACTAACGACCTGATTCATGTACAAAACAATAAACGAAAAACAAATATGATATACAGCAACAAACGACAACCACTGAATAACAGGATCCTTACTTGGGACATGCACATACAGAATATGGCGGGGTTTAACATGTTTGCTTGTGCCACCCCCCTCTTTTACATGGGACAGTGGTGTAACAGTACAGTCTAAGAACAAACTATAAAAACCAGTTGGAAAGCGAGTGCAGTTTTACTCATCGGATTAAAAGTCAGATATTTAAACAAATGAAAAACTATATTGTATATAAGATGGCCAAATATTATAGCTATAGTTATCATTTGAATACAAAAGGCACACTTTGAACTAGTGTATTGTTTATACACCTTTATTTACCAACAATCGCCATTATTAATATAAGTTAATTTTATAGGTTATATTCTATACATATTTATATTACATACTACATTATTGTATTACTTTTTTGTAATAGTATTTTACTCGCCACAGATTGTGTTTCTTTATAAGTGCACATTGGCTAGTAGCAAATGGGATATGTAAAAAAAAAAGCAGGGACCCCTCTGTCAGCTGCCCTGGACTGCTTAGTTTATGTATCCAGGTGATTTGAAATAAAAGGTATAAATCACAAAAAACAAAAAAATCAGTACAGTACATATACATGTCCATTCTAGTGCAAATTATATTAATACTTTATCGTTATAAGATTGTATTTCTAAGTAAAACAAATAATCATTTGCACACTGTACAATAAAAATCACTCCTGTTATACACATGAAACAAAATGTTTCTTTTGATGAACACATTAAAGACTTTTATTCGCATAGTATCGAAATACAATAAGCATTTTAATAAAAATAATGGTTACTTGTAAAAATAAAATTAGCTAGTGGTCTTTGATATTTAAAAAAAAATGCAGGAAAAGACAACCTGGGACCAAAAGACTGTATTATTCATGTAAATCCCAGGTGCGACAAATTACCATTAAATAAATAAATAAATAGATAAATAAATAAATAAACTGTAAAAAAAACCAACTTCACTTTGTAAAGGCATAGAATAGGCTAAGTTAAGATATTGTTTTAGAAAGTACATTTTATAATGGCATTGTTAAAAAATAGTTATGCTTTTGTTTTGAAAACTACATTTTGCCGTGGCATCGTATGAATTGGGTTCTATACTATTGTTTTAGAAACAACATTTTATAATGGCATTGTGAAAAATTAGTTATGCTTTTGTTTTAAAAACTACATTTTGCCGTGGCATCGTATGAATTGGGTTCTATACTATTGTTTTAAAAACATCACTTTTTAGTGATTTTTCTCTCTTTCTGTGTTTTATGTTTTCTTTTTAAGAACTATGATAGACAGAGATATACTTTCAAAAAAACAGATCAACGAGAAAAGAGTTAAAATACGTTGACATTACTGAAATTGTCATTAATTTCTTTGCCGTTCTCGAAAATTTTAATAGGTAAAGAGAGGCAATATACTGTAACAGCTTAAATAAGCTTAAAGATAAGATATACCAATGGGTTAACAATGCTGAAATTGTGAATCAGCTTTCTTTATCAGTTATTGCCCGAAAAGAATTATTTGAGCTAAGAATTATTTGAGCTATATTTTGAGATTTTACAATTAGCTTAAAAACTATAATAGATGGGGAGAAAATGTGAACACAAGGTAAAATACACGATAAAAAAATATATTTTGCAGAACACACAATGTATTTGGTTTTAAGAAGATTTTTTTTTATATCATCCACAGAAAACAAAAGTAACAATTGAGCGGATTCAGAGAAGTTCTATTAGCTAGGGAAGGACCATTCTATATTTTGTGATGGGCATGGTGAATGAAATTTTGGTTTCCATAGCAACAATTCTAGCACCCTGAATCCCAAACATTTTGTTGTAAATTATTGAGTAGAAACATTCTTACTTTATATTTATTACCGCAACTTAAATGTAGGTGGATGCAAAACTGTATATTTTGTTCATGCTAAATGTGTATAATTCGGCTTTACAAATTTATGCAATGAAAAATGACCTCTGCTCCTGCGGTTGTGACAATATTCAGCAAAAATATTATCTATTTATGACATGGCTGTTATGCATAGCAAAAATCGCTATTTGAGTATCGTATTCGTGATTTCAAGCATGACTTGAATAATAAACTAATCATTCTTCATCATCTTTCATATGGATTTATTTTCCCCTTGTTATCACAACTTCAAAACGAATCTTTTCTTATTAATTTATGACAAAAAATACCTACTATAAAAAAAAATAAAATTTGCTAAACTTTTTAACAAAAATGCAAAAATAATTTCAGCCTCAATTTTCTCGAAAACTAGCACATATATATTTCATAATTATAAAAATTACAACGAGAATGTACCGGAAGCCTTTAAAGCCAATATAAAACTGAATAAAAGTAGCTTTCCCTACGAATTTCAGCATCAAGATGATGAAATTCACAAAATCAGACGAAGTCGAACAGTGAAGTCCATAAAATAAAGCAGACGACTGTTTTGTGTCGTATCTATTCAGGTAAGCATGGAGAACTGTAACCGTATTATCATTTGTTAAAAAAACTCTCTTGTTTCTATCGTTTATTTCTAGGAAGAATTCTGAAATAATTGGAACACGAGAGAAAAAGTGAAAAAACACGAATGTACATAGATATATATATGTACACATACAATCACAATCAAAAGACTAAAATTTGATGTTACGTCATGGTAAGTATAACTATCATCTGTACGACAGACAAAAAAAAAACCCAGCTGATCTGCAAGGTACACCATCTACTTGCCACTATACGATATGTGTACTGTGTTACAACACTCGATTAGGCCGACGAAGAAAGACATTAATCGACAAACGAAAGCTATATTTTTATAGCCTAGCTGATCGAGTGGTCTAAGGCGATTGTCACAGTGTAGGTGGTGTTGTCACGATGTCAAAGAAGCATGGATTCCCATCCTGCTGATTGAAGAACACAAATTTACTAAAAACGCAAACTTTCAGATCTAATATTGTTGGACTAAATTTGAAACGAAGTATATATACATGTGTATATTTAAATAGAATCAGAGAGATCGTACATAACATGCATGCATATCTGTTTTTGGCAACAGACGTTCTGAAATGAACGTTTCTTTGAAATTGAATGTCGCGTAAGGGGATTGCATTTGATCGTTTTGTAACTGCATCAAACATGACTAGATTGAGATGTACGGTAATCGCCAATGAGACAACAACCCGACGACTCGAAACATAAGTATTTTTGCGTCATCCACTATCTAAACAATAGAACTATGGTTACTATAAATTCAAACATCAATCATCTAATGTTATAAAGTCATTTCCAAAATGTTGCCTCAATCGTACTACATCAAGGAAGTTACACAGAACATTGAAAACAAAAGCAATCAAAACCATATTTGTTCAAGTTGAAACAAAAGTAAAGTAATAGTGTTTATTAACGATGGAATTGTTATAATTTCAGATCATGGATTTGGCAAAAGGCTTTGCAACTAGTGGCGTGAAGATAGCATCTGAATTATGGAAACCACAACGCACCCTTCATGTTTCAAATATACCACCATGTTTCCGAGAACCGGGTATCCTTAAAGGATATCGATTAACCAATCAAAACTGGTTTTACTATGCAAAGAGCATTTTTTATATCCACAACGAAACGTTCAATATATGGACACACTTGATTGCTTTTTTTATTTTGTGGTCAACTCTTGCAAGATATGCATTAATTTATGACTTTTGGACAGATGACCGATCTTGGCCAATACTTGTATTTGGTATATGCTGCCTTGTATCAACTGCTCTTAGTACTTTAGCTCACATATGGCATTCCAAATCGCGAAATATTCACTATACCGTGTTTTTATTTGACTACGTCGGAGCATCATTGTACGGATTTGGATCCGGAATACTTGCCTTGTATACGTTCTCCGACGACAAAACATACAAAACTGTTGAAGTACCTACATTTATTCTGATTTGGTTTTATGCCTGGTTTGATTGTCTCACCATGTGCGGTACCAAAGTGTTTTTGGACGAAAACTCAATGAAAAGAAAATGTTCCATCGTAGGGGTGTTTATTTTGTATGGATTTGTGGTAACTATTCCCGTAGGACATCGCTACTGGACATGTTATAAAGATATCAACTGTAGTCTTACATCACTCAACCACATTTCTGTACTTTACCTTATGTTTGTTCTACAGGGATTCACCTTCGGAAGTCATTTACCTGAACTACTTTTCCCTGGTGTTTTCGATATTCTCGGGCAAAGTCATCAGTGGTTTCACATAGTTTCTACTGCGACACAGATGCTCCAAATACACACTGCTCATTTTGAAATATCACATCGACAATCAAATCACGGAAACCCAGACCTAAATTTTCTGATACTTGCAACACTTTTATTAGCCATATTTCAGACTCTATCATTATTGATTATCCGAAGGTTCGTTCCAAATAAAGATAAACGAGAGTAATATGATCATATACGTGGGAACGTTCATCCGCTCCGTTTTTTATGATAGACATTAGTGTTTTCGCAATTTCAAATCACAATTCCACATTTTCGTGCACTTCTAGAAATACTACTCAACTTTTCATTCTAAAAATAATTTTGTTTTAATTTTTTTTATAATGTTCTTAAGTATTCGTTCATATCAACCGTATTATAAATTTAGGCGATGAATGACATGAAAGAAAATTAGTATTTACACACATTTGTAATAAAGTTTGTTTTATATAACAATTGAGATCCAGATAAATAAAACGTTTTCTCAATCTGATTAAAATACAGATTCTGTGTCTAAAGCTGTCATGTTTTAATCAGATTGACATTTTCTCTAATTCTTAGTCGATTTATCTTTTTCCTGACTGTTGATCATTTTTAATTAATCAACGTGTGGTTCGTTTGATCTCAGTTCTTCGTTGGTCAAAACTCAATAACAACGTCAAATTGTTTTGTTTAAACTTCTTCTGAATTTCCTTTTGTGACATAGAATAAACACCTCTTTTTGCAGATCATTGGAAAAAGAAGGTTAGTTTCGTCGATGATTACCTAATAATCATTAGAGAAACATTTATTTATCATTTATATATAAATTCTACCACCAAAATTCGTGCAATACGATAAGTGTCCACTCTCGACAGTTAAATTTCAAATATTTAAAAGGCGCGGCGAGCCTCACGTTTTAAATTTAAAAATATAACTGTCTCATAGCTTGATAATAACTCAACTTATACTACAGTTCACCAAACGTAGCAAATATTTTGACAATCGAATAATGCTGCATTAGGTTAATGTGTTTTTTCAACAGATATTCGCCATGGAAACCAACTATGTTCCTCTTCTAGCCGACTTGTTTCTATATTCGTATGAGGCATACTTATACAAGAATGTTCAGGAAAATGGCATGAAAGAAATGTTAATCTTTAGACGCATATTCTGCTATATAGTCCTATCACTGAATAAAACATGTTTGGTGACTATGTTGATCGTATCTATCCCAATGAGTTTGAATTAAGTATATCATAGATACAATGAGTTCTGTTTCATATCTATACTTTAGTTTCAACTAGGAATTGACAAGGAAGGCGGTCGAGAACTAAACTTTGCGGCAAACGAGAGGAATTCAATTTTTTCCATTGTAAACTTTCCATTTCAGCATAGCAGTTTCCCAGCAGTCTATTTATAATGAGTATAATTATAATACGGTCATAGTAATAAAAGGTCGTGAGTGGCAGACACAAACACAATCTTTTTTTACACCTTAAAAATCAGCCATGCACAGTACTCTTTGATATAACATTTACATGGTTTTGTTAACACGGGTACATGTACAGGTAGTATCCACAATAGCTTTATTTCATGATACAGAAGGTCGCATCTAATACATTGTGTTGTTTTTGTATGGGTTATTACGAAGAGTAACACTCTTACACATATACTACTAATTATCTTCGTGTTCATAAAATTATAGTAAAGCTATCTTACACACCTTTGATTGTTGTATTGTCTTTATTATATCAAAAATTTTAATGTTACACAAAAAGAGAACACTTTGAATTGTCAACAAGTTTATGTAATAATATCAAAAACATTGAGCTACACAAGAGAAACGCCTCTTTTTGGCAGTTACACAAAGTACGTTAACGTTAGCTATTGAGATGTTTACATGTAAACATATGTAAGTTTTCGTGTATCAAAAATGTTAACAACTCTTTTCTACTATCTGCTCTGAATGGTTCAAAACAGATCACCACTATACACAAATAACTTATAATAAAGTCCTCTGGATAATAATGTATACTAAATGTTAAAAATAAAGAACATTCCAACAATAAATCATTCAATGCATACTAATATTTTTGTAAAATGAATTTAATATTACACAAGGGTCAATGTTTAAGCTAGACTGGTTCCCTTTCCTTCATCTGTTTGACTCTAGAAAATATCGTGCATGGTTTAAATAAAGGCAACAGTAGTACACCGCTATTCGAAATTCATAAATCGATTGAGAAAAAAAAATAAATCCGGGTAACGGAGAGATTAAGCTAACAGTAGTTTACCGATCTTCAAATCTCATAAATCGATTAATAAAACAAATGAAGGTATCAAACACAAACTTTAGGAAAAGCATAAACATCAATAATAGAGCTAGGTCAGATGCGTAGACAGGGTTATCTTCTACTGTTATGCATGCATCACCCGCCATGCGAATCCACACTCAGTCAAAAGTCCCAGTAGCAAATAGGACACAATCGGTTAAATTACAGACTGGACGACTATTCTGGTATTTAAATTTCTAAAATTGCGAAAACATGTCGCTAGTGAGTTAGTTGAGATACACTTACAGACAATTCGTATCGGTCAATTAATTTGTGATGATGACCGTTACACTTATGCAACATAGATTAAAGTCCTTCCACATATATTTGGTGAAGCAGTTTTTGTGTAAGGTGCACGTTCCTGCTAATGAATTCCGTATTGTGTGAACGTAACCAGCGTAATGTATCAATTGAGATTTTAAACGCCATACGATTGGGATAGAGGGTATGCTACTGCTGAGAAATTGGAAGTTGACAATCGGAAAAATAAATTCTACACGTTTGTTATAGATTCTAGTTTGACGTCATCCATATCTAGGAAAAGATCAAGATATGTTCCAGACCTCTTAGTTTTGGAAGTACCCTTAATTACAGTCTCACTATTATATATGAGATGCAAGCACTCACTGAAATATGGGTTACTAATTGACAAAACGGACATCATGCATATATCCAAAAAATAAATTAAAGATGTTTAACAAGGTTTTGAATGAATTCTGCTTCATATGAGTACAAAATACAAGTCGGTCAGTAGGGTGCATAATCGGTACCTTTTAGTTTTGGAAGTACCCTTAGTTACAGTCTCACTATTATATATGGGATGCAAGCACTCACTGAATTATGGGTTACTGATTGACAATACAGACATCATACATATATCCAAAAATTTTTTTTTTAGATGTTTTACAATGTTTTGAATGAATTCTGCTTCATGCGAGTACAAAATACAAGTCAGTCAGTAGGATGCATGATCAGTACCCATTAGAATACCGACGGTCTGTTGAAATATATCAATCAACCTAACTTAACAGATATGTTGTTGATCCAAAAGGTTCAAAGCATTTTGCTGATATCATCGTCGGTGTATTTTTTTTTTAATCAGTGTGGTTCTTTGAAAAGTAAAATTTTTCATAACATAAAACAAGAAATTTGTACCTACGATTTCCCATTTTTGTTAAAAAAGCTCTGTTAAATGCGCCGATGTATTCGATCTTTCAATTGAGCATGGAGAATAGTAGTGTACAGCATATACAAATCAAAAGTTTCGATATGACAGTAAAATTGTTGATTGTAATTGAAAATGTTGCATGCCATGAAACCAGGTTCAACCCACCATTTTTTCTTAAAATGTCCTGTACCAAGTCAGGAATATGGCAGTTGTTATCAAATATTTCGTTTCTATGTGTGTTGGCGTTTGTTTTTGTTGCACTTCGGTATTCCTGCTGTTCCTTTGTTTTCCGCTTAAAGGTGATGTATTTCCCTCGGTTTTGGTTTGTAACCCGGATTTGTTTTCTCTCAATCGATTTATGACTTTTGAAAAACCGGTATCCTACTGTTGCCTTTATTTGCAGCAGAGAACCAACCATATATTTTAAAGGCATGTGCCTTTAGATTTGGATAAAGATAAAGTTATTTAAGGAATGACTGTAATATTTATTCTGTCCATGAAGAAATAACATCAAAAATGTGGTGCACACTGAATAACCCGCGTAGCGTGTTATTTAAAAGTGTGCACCACATTTTTTAGGTTATTTCGAATAGACAGAAAAAATATTACAGTCATTCCTTATAATTTATTTCTAATTTCCATTTTAAAGGAGTAAATTTTGAAAAAAAAACGTTGGTGACGTCACGGTCACATGACAAAATTATGTCTATGAGCTGATAGACAAAACACGTTCAGCCAATTAGAAGACGTGTTACATCCAAAATTAAATTATTTGAAAATACAATCATTATTGAATAAAGAGAATGATGTTCGTTACATGTCAGCCAGTCAGCAACCAGAGTACACAATAAATTCTAAGCAAACATTTGTATCGTCGTTGTTGGCATATGCCATATATAGTCTTTTTGTCCGCTGTATTCAATGGCGATAGATCTTGCCAGACGTAACCTACAAAAGAAAATCAAAAAGTTTATACAGTTAAATAACTGTCTAGTTTATAATTGAGAAAGTAATGGGTTTTTTTTTCACATTAAGTCAGCGTGAACAAATAACCAAACAAGACGAGAAAATAACATTAAATATTGACAAAGATCTGATGTTGCTTAACCAAATCTCATATCCCTAAAGAACTGTCCCATTCGTATAAATAATATATTCAGTGTAAAAACTGAATAGTGAAGGGATTACCCTTGATTCAAACTCTCAATGTTCAAATGGAAGTGCAGAAGAATTTCGAATAAAACAAACTATGTGGTCAACGAATGTACCGGTATATCTCTAATGAAAGTAATGTCCAGTCTGAGTGCATTTTGACATTTTTACCTATTAAGTCTGTTTGTTTTGCTCACACATTGTTGTCTATTTAATGGAAATGTATGCGACTGTCATACAAGTGAGGTGTTTAGCTGGCTATTAAACCAGGTTTAATCTACCATTTTCTACATAAGGACGTCAACATGCCTGTACCAAGTCAGGAATATAACAGTTGTTTTCCATTCGATTGATGTGTTTACGCTTTTGATTTTGCCATTTGATAAAGGACTTTCCGCTTTGAATTTTCTTGGAGTTCGGTATTTTTGTTATTTTCCTTTTCACTATTAAATATTGCAATTTAAATCATCAAGTTTTGTAAACGTAAACATCTTTGAATTTTCCCGCTGAAGCTGGGTATAAAGCTACTGACAAAAATAATGCCTATTCATGTTAAAATGAGCATAACGCATGGCACCCTAAGATTCAGGGAAGGATTTTTGAAAAAGTTTACGAACAACGGACGGCAATTGATAGCAAAAGTTCATACTGCATGATATTTGGACAGATGAGCTAAAATAAAGTTATTATATCAAATAGGTCGCAGCATTAGAATGACTTACATTTAACATTGTTTTACAAACAGCCGTGAGAAGCATTGGGTTACATACTGCTGGTAAGAAGCATGCTGGGAACAAGTCGTCGAAAATGCACAAGTCTGCAAAGAAAGTTATAATGGTGATACTACTTTCATCTCAATCTTAGCAATAACGTTTTACAGGATCATCGCTCTTTCTATAAAAAACTTTGTGAAATATCTTGAACAAAGTTATTGCTCATATGATTCTGCCTAAAAAAAGTTTTAATGTTCTTTGTGCCATGTTGGTCTTATAACATACTAATCTTTATTGTCTTAAAGCATATAAAATAAAGATTGTGACAAACAAAATACAAATTACAACATAATATACAACAAATCTTAAAACAGTCAGTTAATGAAGAGTCCCTTGTCCTCGGTGCCATTGACTCGTTTTAAAGCGGAACCTGGACTTTGTGTTTATTGAAAATTTGTTGGATTGAGTACTATATATTGTATTTCTATTTGTTTACGAAACTTATAAAAATAAAAAAACACAGTTGTAAAAACAAGTTGTAAAAAACAGAAGAAGAAAAAACCACACGTTTCTCTTAAATGCCGATTTTCAGGCCAGGTTCCACACACTTAAGTTATACAATTGATATTAAGTATACATGTAACAGGAAACCTTTACAGTATATATAAACGGTAACATAACATACACGCATAGAAAGAATAAAACATAACATACACGAATAGAAAGAATAAAACTTCACACATGTTTTTTTTACTTTTTTCTTCTTGAAACCCTGTTATTAAAAATGATGATTTTACACACACACACACACACACACAAACAAACAAACAAAGGCAAAATATACGCATGTATGCTTTGCTGACCAAATTGCGTATTTCGAACTACTAATGATGTATCTTATTAAATATGTATCAGAAAATTTAATATCACTTGACGTAAAAATTCAGTCTAATAGTTAAGAAATGTTATATACCCATTGGTGGCCTTGGGTTATTTTCTGCTCCTCGATCTGGTTTTTTGTGTCTTTGATACATACCCCGTTTCCCTTCTCTATTCTCATTTACCTTTCAGACAATTTATACTGCTTTTATTTTTATATAAAACAAAATACTAATAACCTTCTTTGATGCATGTGTTTGCGATAACAACTGATATGGTTAACGGTTTTTTATGGGTTATTTTTTGCTATAGCGTTAATATATTGTTATTGTATCGTTTAAGTGGAAACAACAGAAAATCAAACCTTACAAATCACTGCGTTTTAGATAGCAAAATGTGTAGTCATTGCATTTCAATGAAAATGGTCTTGTACGAATGCCATCAACTGTTTAACTTTACCGAGTAACTTTTGAATGTGCAGTTAGGTGTGTCCAGTGTGTTCAATTTATTGGACAGTAAATATTCCTTACAGTTACTCAATGCATACTAACCATCTGAAAAGTAACATAAAAGACCCGTACTTACTGAACACATAATAAATTGAAGACGACATCGTATCTTTAGACCAAGAAATTGTCATGAAAAGAACATAATGCATATCTTATCAACTGAGATATGCAAACAACAGAGCCTGGGCAGACATTTATGGTACAGTAACTACACAAGAATGGGAAGTTGATATTAGGAAAAAACTGAAGTAGTATTTGTAATAAATTAATTTAGATGATGAAAATGCATGTTCATTTCAGATGTAGACCTCTAAAAATAGTCATTACTTACTTACTGACTTATTTAGGAGAACTGGTTCAGTGTACTAAATCATGTCTTCCTTTCATCTATAGATATCACGTCGGCAAAGGAAGGCCAAAATCTGTGATGCACTAAAAAGGTCATATCATTGTGGAATATCCATTGGATATTGGGTGAAATATGATCAGATCAGATATTCTATACAATATATGATATAATGATTTATATTTATAAAACATATGGGGTATAAACTAAGGTATACCTTAATTACGTGCATTCTCAGAGACGGACATATGCGGGGAAAAGGAGGATGCAGGGTATAACCTTCAGGTACTAAACTGTTGGTGCAATGGTACGGTCTTGACATATAACAATAAAGAAGATATATAGCAAACTATCTATGATATTAGCTGCGCAGGGATAGATTACCGCCAAACTAACAATAGTGCAGTAGAATAGTCTTCTTATGACAAAAAATTATATAGTTGAGCAGTAAGGATCTGAACGGTATTTGAAATATTTTAACAGCTTATTGAATGATGGAGTGAGATATTGCCCCTGGGGACAAACCAGTAAGTTCAATAGAAGGGTCCTACCCTAACTGAACAATGTATATATATGTGAAAAAAAGAGCAAGGTCACATGAAAGTTGTGATGATACACCACTAACCATCTTATACTAATACACCTACCTACCACCTACAAAGGGGTAAGTCAAAAGAAAAAACGTTATGACATATAAGAGTGTATGAAATAAAGCAGATTAAGAAGATGGAATTTTACTCAAACAATATGTCCCCCTTCTTCAATAATGAGCAGAAACCTTTTTCACTTATTTTGTGGGCATAGGCCTGGAATACGAAAATGTGCATTAAAAACTGGTAAAAGGTATACTGGTACTTTCATATATCAAATGTGAATGTTGCACATTCAAAATAGACTAGTTGTGTGTGGCTCCTAACAATGTATTTATATTATAAACATTTGTTAGAAGCATACTAAGAGTTTTGGGTAGATATTTCAATTTTTACTATCTTCGAAACTAAGGGGGATATAACTTTGAAATGTGACACATTCAAACTGTCTTAGTAGTTTTTTACATTTTAACATTTCAAATGCTTTCATTTAAGCATACTCTATTACTGGTCATTATCTGCATTTTTTCACAGGTCATTTGTCAATATGTATATAGACACGAGAAGAATAAGAAACTATATTATAGTGATTCAGTGGCTAACACTGACAGCTACACCCTAGATGAGAGAAATTCTACTTAAGATTACCGCTAAACTTTTAAAAGTCCCATAACTGTTGTGGAACTCATCTGAAAACTTTCAAAATCAAAACAGAGCTGACATTTTTTGGTAAATGATTTAATGTAAGTAAGCTAGAATTACCACCAGGCATATGAAACATTGCAGAATATGGATTCAAATCTCATAACTCTTGAAAGACCATCGAAAAGGAGCTTGCCTTTATAAAACCTAACATTCTGTCAAAAAGGTTTTCGTGAAAGTATTCTTGAGTCATCATGAAACACATGGAAGTGTCCTAATTTTAGATAATTAAAGTCCCATAACTCTAAACAACTAACTTGAATACAAAATGCATTATCAAAATAAGAGTACATTTTATATGGAACCCAACATTAAGTTAATAATCTAGTGAGGATTCAGTAAAATATTATCGAATTATCTCTGAATGGGAGGAAGATAAAGTTATACCATAATAACATGCTTTCGTAGAAGACGGGCATATAAAACATCATTAATATAGCTTCTCAGAAATAATTATAGATTATCGATGGTTCTTTAAACAAGAGGGAGTTTCTTAGCTACAATATCATCAAAAAGCAATAGCTCTGTGACGAGGTGTAGCCGAGAAAAATCCTCAAGTTTGAAAGACCGTTGATAATTTGGTTATCACCATCAAGTTCCTAGGTAACATCAATGACATAGGCTAATGATGTCATACATTCTCTTTCTCCTCGACTGAGAAAATCTTATATTACTTAAGTAGAGTGATATGGAAATAATCACAAACAAGAGGCTGTCAGAGGTCGAAACCTGAACAGCTGAGCAAGTATGGACACAACATTTAAGCTTAAAACAGCTCTTAATTTGGATTGTGATTGAACATTTGACACAGTATAGGTTTGTGATACAAAATGAATGTGGTCAAAGAACTGAAAAATTTGAAATCGGAAATTTACCTATTATGGTCCAATATCCAAAATCTAATAACATTGTTATCATTAGCATATCAAAGAACCCCAAGAATTCATTTTTTGACTTGTTGATGAAATCAAACAAAAGTTTAATTTAGGACCCGTTAACCTCAATGAGATATTATCTAATTAATAATGAAAATAAATACAGGTTTAGATTCAGCTTTTCAAAGAACCCTATATATATTCAATTTATGTTGAAATCACAGTATAATTTTGGACCCCGATTTGGACCAACTTGAAAACTGGGCCCAAAATCAGAAATCTAAATATATGTTTATTATTAGACAAACTAAGCTTAGTTTTTAAAGGAGTTTGCTTCATAAAATATATATATAGCATTCAGAAAATAAGTTTATACAGAATAACAAACAAACCAACCACAAAATTCTTCAAACAAATTACAAAAGAAAAGATGAAAAAATATCCAAAATGTCATTTATCATTAATACAATATCTATTAAAAATCTATAAAACTTATCTGTAATTATCTTCAAAATGTCTAATGATGAACAGTAAATTTCAAACTTTATTTATACGTCCTACTGATCTTATCATCAACACTTAGGAAACAGAAAAATTTCAAATAAATCTGTCACTCCAATTATAATTGTGTCATAAGATATTTACCAGATGTTTTGTTATATATTAACAGGTGAAAATTATTTAAAAACACTTAGTGTAATCAAACTTTATATATATAATTAATAGTTCCCAATATTTTTTCTTTCATTTGTCACAAACTAATATAGATCTGCAACTTATCTATCAATGTCAACAATTTTATCTACACAATGTAATGTAATGAAATATATCCTTTAATAAGTATATATTTGGGCTTGTTAAAAGTCGAAAACTCAAAAACGAGAGAAGCTAAAATCGTCAAAATTGAACTTGACCTTCATTTAGTCACAGGAAACAACATATCAAAATTTGAAAAAAAATCGTCAAACCAGTGCATGTTAATGAACAAGACACTGTTTGGCAGCCGCCCGCCCGCCGTACACCCCCAAATTAATACCCGATTTTTCCTTCGAAAATCCGGTTAAAAATGGTCCACGCTATGGAAATTGTCACAAAAATAGATCAATGGAAAATGAGAAAATAGGGATATGACCTTGTTAATGCTGATATTTTGCTCTGTTCATATTTACTGCAGTTGCACAAGATACCACTTTAGCAGTAGTCAATTACCAGTTAAAGGGCTAAGCAATTAGATGATAAAATGCATACACAAATCAATTAATAAAATATTTATTACAAGAACTATCTTACAACTCATGCTTGTATATCAAATCAAAATACAATGTAAAATATTGCACATATTACAAAATAAATTAAGACATATCTCAATAAAATTATATACAATAATCACAACCATAACAATTACAATATCATTTCATTCACAATTCTGTGTGAATTTGTCAATATAAATTCTACTCATTAAGCACCAAGCAGATTTCAATGAATTTTCAAAAAAAGGAATTATGTTTATGAAATTAAAACTGATGAAAAAGTGAATTTTTTTTTATTGTTTTTTTGCCATACACCTTTTTTTAATCCAGATTTAATCTTAGCCAGAAAGTAAGATCCAAAGATCAGACTCTTCTCACAATTGATACTCATGTCATTATGATATTTGGTTTATGTTTACCTGAGGACATACTATTTGAATTTGTTTTAAAGATGTGGAGGCTATAAGGAAGAACAAAGTATATGGTGTAGATCTGAACAATTTATTGTAATTAATTGCAGTGCATGTAGCTTATTACAGGTCTTAACATAAAATCAAAGAAAATATGACCTACTAATATCTTGGGTTATTGCTACAATGTTTATAATTCACACCCAGCCTTTTCTAAATATTACTAATAACCTTTTCTAAAATAAGAATAAGTTCCTACAGCATTCATATAATTATGAAATTCTGATTTCATTTTGTTGAGCCTTTTTTATGAGCAATTGATTAGTTTCAAGATTTAAATACATAGTCATTTCTATAGCTTGTCATTGATAGAATTTTGAAAGCTGCATATAACTATTATAATTTTCTTAAAGAGATCTCTGAGTTATTAAAACATTTCTTACCTGTCGAAAAAAATATAGGTAAAAAGAGAGAGGATATTTTAGATGCATTTTAAAATGCTTTAAACTTTTACTTCCTTTTGAAGTAAAATTCAGGCCCTCAAGTTTTCTATGTGCATGACATATCACTTTGATTGTTTACAACTTCAGTTGATACAAAGAAGTGCCCAATCGGAGTTCAAAAATATGTAAATCCATAGACAAAGACTGTTTATTGTTGTCTAAATATCTTTTAATTTTTTTTTTAGTTTGAAGGACCTTTCACATATGCTTGTTCAAATTGTAATTGAACCAAAATGTTTTATTTTTGATAATACCAAGATATTCTTTTGATCTTGACAGCTCAGAAAATTCTTTTTTTTTTAAACGTAACTTTAAACATGCATGCAACCATTAAAGGATATCAAGGCTGCTACATGTATCATTAAAAGTATTTTTTTAATCTTTAGTAATGTGTTTACTTCTGTACATTTCCCTTGGAGAAACTGATAGCATAATGTTTACATGTTTTCATGGGCTTAATCTTACTTTAAAGAAGGAAATATAATCATTCATGCATGCAAAATATAAAGGAAACCAAAACTACTAAATGACATTGTATCATTATTCAGTGTCTTTTTAAATCTTCAATAATAGATTTACTTCTGTACATCTCCCTTGGAGAAACTGATATTATCAGGATTGTCATGGGCTTTGGTGAAAAGAGATTTAAAATCTATCTAAAAGACTTGAAATTCATACAATTATGACTGTATGACAACAATGTCAAAGTAATAGAAGGTTTCCTAAAAACCAAAAATGTTGTATTTTCTAATACAATGCATGACCTAATACATATATCTTTCTTCCCATTTTATATCGTTTTTTTTTGCTGTGTAGTTCCTGAAATAATCATAAACATATCCATAGATAAATGGTACTACAAACAAACAGTTTCTAACTTCACCAAATACATAATATATAATACCAATTCATTGGGACTTTCCTACTAAATTTGAAAGATTCATCAAGATTCCAAAACATTTTACTGACACCAATAACAACAATGCACAATAATGTAACAGTAAAGTCCTTCATGTTTCTATTTATTGACTTTTTATTAATCCTATTCAATTTTGAATTCATTGGCTGCTTCAGAGTAAACTGAAAAGTGCTAAGTAAATAAATAGTCAATTTGTGTAAAATTACTCTAAACTTATTACCCCTATATACGTGCAAGATATTGATCAGATAAATGTAGGGTCAGATAGAAGTGCAATCTTTAATTCAATCTTTAATTAGAATTTAACAAGTGAAACCACGAGCTACTGCTCACTGATGATACCCCCACCCAAATATGGATAATTTTAATAGTGTAAAAATATGTAAGTGTTCGGTAAAAACAGGAAGTTGTTGAGTGGTGAATCTGAAAACGCATCACATGGTATAGCTCACTCATATAAACCTTGAATCAAATTTCAGAAATCCTTGTCATGTAGTACCTGAGAAAAACGCAACGAAAAATATTCATGGGACGGACTGACGGGCAGACAGAGGTAAAACAGTATACCCCCACTTTTTTAAAGCAGGGGTATAAAAATATATCAGCAACACACAATGCAAATTAAAATTCCTCATTCATTTCAGATAATGACTGTATTTGGTGTAGTAATGTATTTCTTTAAAGATATAATGGTGTCAGTTATCTTCCTGTTTATATACAACAAGGTTTTTCATAATGATTATTCACCTGAAATGAAATTTAAAACTTATAATGATTAAAAATTTAGAAAAATCCAAGCACAATGTGGAATTCAATATAATGTACACAATTTTGTTTTGAAAACATTATAGACAGTATATAATGAAATTACATTAGCTGAGTATTATTGATATCCACCTGACAATATTACTGAAATTCATTGGATTTTACTGGATATTATTACCATTCATCTGAATCTACCATAAATGAATGTAATCCAAAGCCCTGTTTTCAAAACTTTAGAAAGTGCTGTTTTGTCCTATTTACTTTTTTATATTGAGAAGGGGATTAGAGGAGATTATACAATATGTTCATGTATAATATAATTCTCTTTTTATCTTAAAACTGAATTTGTGAACACTTCTCATAGATCCTTTTACAAAATTGAGAAATAGTTACATGCATTAGTAATTTTAACAGCAGGTTGACATTCTGCTAAGTAAAGATAAGTTAGGAAATGATAGCTTTGAGAACAAGATACAATTTATAATGCATTTCTTCATAAAAATAAATACCATCAAACTTTTTGAAGTAAAGAAACTTTTTAAGCATACCTTTTGGAGCTCTTTTGAAATTCTCTCAAAGCAATGGAAATATTGTTAAGTGCTTGAGCTAGACAAATTCATAGATAAACAAACTGACTTTGTCCATATTTTGATATCCTTCAGTCATGTTTGCATAATAGAATGGAAAAAAAAATCTAAAATATTTAAGGCCTACAGGTATTAGGTCTGCAAAAAAACATCTGGTGATAATAAATGTACCTGTAATTCCTTCAAAATCTACATAAGAAAATGAACACTAAATAGCTTTCCCTTCCCTTTGAAAACATGTTAAACAAGCTTGCTACATAAAAATTTAGGAAAAAAGTATTGTCTGGGGAAAAATGTAACAAGTCAGAAAAAAAACCTTTTTCAATGTGCAAATAAACTCATCATAGATACCAGGATTGAAATTTTGTATTTGCACCAGATGCGCGTTTCGTCTACAAAAGACTCATCAGTGACGCTCGAATCAAAAAAAGTTAAAAAGGCCAAATAAAGTACGAAGTTGAAGAGCATTGAGGACCAAAAATTCCTAAAAGTTTTGCCAGATACTTTCGACACACAACAGATATTTTGCTATAAAAAAATATATATTGATTTATACTTTAAAGTATTCATATAAATATATAGCATCATTTCATTATTTTTTGTTTATTATTTTGAATTCTATATCATGTTTCCAACTTATGAAAGTGATTTTTAATAAAAAAAAATAAACATTCTGTGTATGACTTCATTTAGTGAGCTAAGAAATTGTGTAGGTTAATAAATAGACAAGTAATTCTTCAAAATCTTGAAACAACAGTTTCATTTGTGTGGTGAAGACATGTTATGTGTGCTGACATCATATATTAAATCACATGACAAGAAAAAAAATAATATTTTTTACTGATACCAGACAATTCTAGCTAAAGTATACAACCAAACTGGACAGTATAAAAATTACAAGCACAGAGTAATTTTTACCTCAGTGTATTGTTCAGTAATTGTACTGATTTATTCAAGAAAAACAACTTTCTGAAGTCACTGAATTAACAAGATCTGAGATAGACTTATGTTTGGATTTTTTTACACACAATAGTTACATAACACCAGTTATATATAGACTGTGATTTTGCATGATTCCCAAACTTTGTAAAATTGGCTTGTTGGGAAAGATTAACAATAACAGTACGAAACAAATTTGAAAAAAAAACACTGCTTAAAAAACACAGTTGGCAAAAATAGGACAATAAAGGTACTAACTACATGTATTAAAATTTCCTTTCTTGAGCGAAGTCATTGCATTCAAGTCATTTTGTTTCTGTCTCTTGCTTTCTATTGCAGAGTGCAATTGAGATATCAGTATAAAAATTTGTAAAGGGTACCTCAGAACCCAACTCTATGTCTTGCCTGTGATTGCTGCTCTTATTGTAAAGGTGAATTAAATTTGACAAAAACTAAGTCCATTTATCAGTAAATACCGAAAAATTACAAAAAAATTAAAATTTTTCTTCATATACTATTTCTTGATCTTGAAGAACCTTATTTCAAAGTTTCAAAGCATGAAGGTTTAACAAAGTAGCATTGTATAATAAATGTAAACCCAGACGGTATGTAATTGTTAACTGAAAAACATACTAAGTCCACCTATCAGTAAAATATGGAAAAATAAAATATATATAAAAGTTTGACTCAGACATTATCCCTTAATCAAAATAAAGCTTTTGCCAAAATTTCATAAAATTCTATAAAGGTCTGACAAAGTTATTTGATGTCTGAAAATCTATTACCATAGACAGCTTCTTAATGTTAACTGCATTAAAAACTTTATCAGTAAAATACAGAAAACAAAAAAACAAAATTTTTTTTTACACTGCATACGGTCTTTATATGATCATAAGAAAGCTTCTATCCAAGAGTTAGTAAATACAAAGAAGGTTTGACAAAGTTATTGACATCTAAAAAAACTTTATCCACATAATGTAGATACTGCCAACAACAGAATGTAGGATAACTATGTCTCACTTCCACAACAAAATGTCACAGGCTAAACAATAAAGGATTGCAAGTTTATTCATATTGTACCATAGTTATTCAACAAATATATTATCATGATTCAATAACCAATTAAATATTTTTTCTTCTTAAAATAATCTCTGAAAACATTAATTTCATCACAAGTTTCTTAAAACAAAAGTTATCTCGAGTTATTTAGAGATAAACCCATTTGTTAAACCATACAAAATAAGTGTTAACATGTAAATGAATACATGTATAACATGCAGTACGTTTTGGAATACCTATGAAAATTAACATTAAAAAAAATCTTTCCAAACATAATTTTACTTTCAAATACTTCTAAAATGATCAACAAATTCTCCCATAAAAAAAAAAATCCTCATATGCAATGTTAGTAAATAAAGTTCTGTCTTTCAAAAGAAATACCACATAAATAGAAAATAATGCAAAGTGCATACAAATTACTGTTTAACAATAGAGATGCTTAAAAATAGAAACAAGCTTTGAGTTTTCAAACAAAAGAGCAAGCTTGTTAAAACTTAGTCAGATGCATTACAGAATAATTCACTCCCAATACAATAAACATGTCCTAGTACCCTTGTTCCTTCTCAATGTTGTTGACTTGTGAGTTCACTAATAGATTTGGAGAGCATTCACTAAAAGCTAATCCTGCTCCAGCCCTGCATTGCTGTATATTGCTTACTGTTGTCCAACTACAAGATATAGAAATATATATAATTGTACCTTTCTCAAGAATTGATTTATTATTTTAAACACAGGCAAATTGCTTGTTTACTAGCAGACTGGTGAGAAATCAGCCAGTAAAAAGTATGAAAGAAAGCGGCTTGAGATGAAGAACAGCAATAAAAGCGCTACATTCCTTTGCTTTTTGTGTTTTTTGCTGTGCACATACTGATTTTGTGTCATGGATGGATACCCCATATCCTTTCTTTCCTATTTTGCTAGGTAAATTGTCAAAACTGATAGATTTTCATCCAAACATTATTAAAATGCTGCATTGTGACCATGTGAAAATAATTCTCCATGTTTTATTTCAGAATTTATAAAATTAGCTCAAAGAATTCTTATGATGAATTGGATTAAAAAAAAATTATGATAGGGAAAATAACTATCAACTGGCCGATTTTGGGATATTCCTCAGGTTTCAAAGCAAAGAGCGCAATGTATGCACTTCAGTCTCCATCTTTGAATCACTTAGTTATCCTCATTTTGCTTTTAGCCACTTAAAGCCAATCAAGAGATAGGGCTAACAGGGCTTAGCCTTAACTTAAAGGAATGAAGCAGACCAACAAGTTCTGTACAATCATCTGATTCCATGTAAGTTTCAACCCTGGGCAATCTGTAAAAATTATCAATCAGAATTAAGAACTGCAATCTAGGAGCCATCATTTTTTTGTCTCGTGTAAATGAAATAGGGTATTTACATGAAGGACCTTCCATACATGATTCTTACAATTTTGGTAGTCAGTGATAAATCATGTATTTTCAGCGACCATAAAAATGTGGTTTCCAATCAAGCTACAATGGGAATCTCAGTGGCATCACTGCTTTCATCTTCAAAAGAAAATTGTGGCTAGAAAAAAATATCTTTTTCCAACACTACATATTCAAGTTCTAAACTAAGATACAAACCTATCTTTAATAGGATCATATGCCTCTACAGAACTGAGATAATTAAATCCATCATGACCACCCACAGCAAACACTTTCCCTGCCATAGTAGACACACCCACTCCTCCACGAGCACATGTCATGTCTGCCATCCTCTCCCATTTGTTTGTTTGACAGTTGTACCGTTCACATGTATTCAAAGGGGAGCTGTCATCAAATCCACCTAAAAAACAGTACACAATCAATTCAATGACATTGTAAACATTATTTATTTCCAGAAAAAAACATAATTTGAATTAAACTAGCAAAAGTTTTCTCTTTTTTCTTCTTCAATGTATTTGTATAGTAAGCAGGGCATGGTGTCCTATGGACACATATTTTCTTGTTCTCCTATGCTCTAAATTTAACTCAAGAATTATTTTTTTAAACTATACATATAATAAATTTATTATTAACACATAAAAACTTTCCATTTCTATTTTTCTGCAATTAAATCAAAATAGATGTTTAATATCAGCAAAAGATATGTTTTTGGACTGTGTTTAAGGAAAATCAAGGACATGATAGTTTCCATTGCAAACACAATATTTACAACCAATGAAATAATTCTGGGTAGACATTTTTTGCAATTTACTTGTTTATCTATTTTGCTTTTTACATAATGTACAATTTTTCTCCATATTATTGTTTTCAAAACGATATCCAAAACACTAAAAAAGTCTATTTTATAGATATTATATTACTGGTATTTTTTTTCCTCTTTAAAGTTTCTGTTATTCTACTTGTATTATAGTTTTTCAGATAATTACGCTTAAATCTTAACAAAAAATTATCATTTAAATGCAATTCAACTCAATGAGTGTTGTCTAATAATTTTGGCATAAATATAGATTAGACATTATTTTGTTTTTCTGAACCTTTTTACCTCAACAGTCAGATTGTTTCTATATATTTTGGTGTTCAAGATATAGACAATAACTTGCACTTAACCCTTGTGTCCTACTATTAGTGATGGAAGCCATGTTTGTTGGTGGAAAGGAAAACCAAGAACAATCTGAAAACCTTAAGGATGATTGACCAAGTCTGATTTCAATTGGCCTTGGGGTTTCTGGAAAACTTTCATACAAGTTTACAGACACACGATGACAGACGGACAACAAGTAATAACAATTTTGCACACTGGACGTTTGGTCAAGATCAGCTAAAAAAGTAATATACAAACCAACGACGTATACATATCCCTCAAGAACTGAGAGACCAGCACCAGCCCTGGGTCTTTCCATGTTAGCTATACTGCTCCATTTGTTCATGATTGGATCATATTTCTCACATCTGTCCAATGAAGATGTACCATCATTTCCTCCAACAGCATATAAATGACCCTGAATCAAAAAAAATAAGTCTCAATAAATTAAAATGTAAGAAGTTCATCAACATTAGTTTCTCTGGCTTTGGATTTATTACATTAAGCAGGGTTAAGACTTATAATTAAGTACATTAGTTTAAAAAAAATCTTGTTAACAAAATGAAGACTTTTGACTGGTGAACAGTATGGTAATTTTTGTTTGCAGGTGTTTAAAAGAAAAGTGAAACCGTCATATAATATTTGTAGGGCAAAAATTATATTCACAGATAAATTTAAAGGTAAAAACTGTTTTAAGTTTTCTTCTGTTTTTTTTTACATTTACATGTACTATTTTGTTACAATACATTTTGCTTAAATGAACCACACCCAACTTTGAATCAGAAAATAAACAGAAACCCAGCATTCTTGTGTACATCAATAATAAAGAACTAACATTAAATGATGTGACTCCAACTCCACCTCTCCTGACATTCATAGAGGATACAAATGTCCACTTGTCACAGGCATGATCATATCTCTCAACTGTGTCATAACATGTAGTGTCATCTAAACCTCCTACAGCATATATAGCTCCTCCCATAGGGGCTAGGGCAATACCACGTCTGAAAATCAGAAAAAAATCAAAAACAAATTTATATATTTATGCTTTGTAAAATAACATTTATGGTTTTTGGTCATTTATTTTATGAAATTTAATTGGTCATTTGAGATGACTAGTTCCTTGTATTTTGTTTTTGCATCAATGTGAAAAATACTCTTTTTAGTTTTATGCAGTGAAGACATCTTAATCAGACAGTTAATGAGTATATCTATTTCAGTAGTCCATATACATGTACTGATGGAAAGCAATCCTATTTTAAACCATTTGTTTTAGAAGGGACAACAGAAAGATGGATCAAATGGCAATGACTCCTTTCTAGATCTTTTAAATTGGGTATTAATAAACTGACCAAATAACTCTTTAAATGTTTAATAAACTGTTGACACAGCAATATGTCTTACCTACATGTAATTTTGATAGTTTCATACAAATGTTTAAATAAAAAAGGCAATTCTTTTAACATGTAAACTATACAAAACATTCATTGTCAATTTACTATGACTGAAGTTGAAGCCAAATAATCTCTGTGGAAATGAGATTTGACTATGCATACAATTATTGCTTTATCATATGTGGTTCCCTTTAAACTGTCCAAATCACAAGAGAAATGAGATGTGCTAATGCTGATACAACTGCATACCCATATACCACTGACTTACAATTTACAAATGTAGGAGTTAGATATTCCCCTGAAACTCTAACCTGTAAACTCTAACCTTTAAACTAAGGAACAGCTTCAAAGTCATTAGACTTGGACTGTGTTTGAAAGGCTTAATTATGCCCATGGGAATGAGATGTGCCAATGCTTATACAATTGCACAACAAATATCATTGACTTACCATAAGTGTTTTATTTTAACTGACCTACTTACAAACTGTTAACATGTAAACTTTCCCAAAGCTCAAACTTAATAGGCCATGACTGAAGGGGAGGTACAAATAATCTTCTTGTATGATGCCTTACTTTTTTTGTGTTGTAGTGTCATATTATTGTATAAATCCGTCCATAAAATCAAAAATTTCCAACAAATTTCCACAAGTACAGAAAAGTTACCTAGGAGTAGTCATTGCAGCAATGTTATACCATTTGTTAGTTTTTGGATCAAATACTTCCCCAGTATTCAAATGTTTAGTTCCATCATGTCCTCCAACAGAGTACAAAAGACCTGTCAATAAAATGGTATGTATATCAGTCAGGGGTACTACTTGTACAAGTAATCTTTATTTACTTGAAGAAGTAAAAAAAATATACTTTTATAAGTTAATTATAATGTTTGAATAATCTCCCCTTAATTTTCTCAAAAATTCACTTGTATAAGTAAATTTTTTTTACAATCCCACAAAAATTCTCAAGTTTTCAGATGTAAAACCATGCCTTTAATGATTATTCCCAGGTTAGCTCATAATTTTTTATTAGAGTTCAATGTTTCATCTCATTAATTCAACAAAGAAACTGATTGCGCAAAGATCTTAAGTATTTGCGGAAGGCCTTCAAAAATTGCTCCTTGTAAATGAGCAGTGTTCTGAAGATAACAGACAAATGAGATTTTCATTGTCCAATAAATTACACTTAAATGATAAGTTAAGACATCTGCAAAGGACAGACAATTTAAAATTCTATTAGAGCAAAGAAGTCCTAAGAATTCAAGAAAAGAAGATAGGATGACTTTTTCACTTATATCAGTAAAAAAATCTGAATGTCTGAGGGACATAACTAAGCCAATTTTTGTTTTACCTATACAAGTAAATAAAATACACTTGTTTAAGTATCCTACAAATTTACTTATATAAGTATATTTATATTACTTCTTCAAGTAAATAAAAATTACTTGTACAAGTAGTACCCCTGACTGTATATATAATATCTTGAAACCTATACATATAATAGATAGATCGAAACTGGAACAATCTTTTATCATTAACCTGGCAATTTTGCATAAACTATACAATGCAAAAAGACTTTTTGTGGAAACTGTGTGGGCAAAAATCTTGTGTATATATATGGTAGTCAGCAGGGTTTAAGAACATGTGTTGTTCGACCTGTTAGTCAAATGCTTTTTGTTAAAATATACTTTTCACTTATTTGGTCTTTTGGAAAATGTTGTTTGTGCTGTATTTAGACCCCTCTAACAAGAAATTTGTTTTGCATGCACACGTATAAAAATTGCGGTTTTTATCCAAAGCAATCATAGGTATGAACGTTGTTTTCAATTTAGACTTGTTTATATTTTTTCGTTTGGGTTTGTATTATATTTGCCTTCGAGTTTATATGATCCGTTCATCCTATTTTGACTCCTCAAAATTCAAGGTCTATCCTAAACTGAGGTAAATTGTATGGCTTTCCAAATACTGTTTCGATTCCTAACATCACTGAAGAGACATTAATTGTTGAAATCCGGATATGGTGTACAAAAACCTTTGCACCTTTTGTTTGCAGTATACCATCTTTTCCGCAAGTTTATTGTTTTCTGATTAGTATTAAATTTATAATTAAGATCCATTTATTACATCGGTGATCTGTTTATTTGGCCATCGCCAATGGCAGTCAGCAGGGTTTAAGAACATTTGTTGTTTGACCTGTTAGTCAAATGCGTTTTGTTATAAGATACTTTTTCAATTTATTGGTCTTTTGGAAAATGTTGTTTGTGCTGTATTTAGACCCCTCTAACAAGAAATTTGTTTTGCATGCACACGTATAAAAATTGCTGTTTTTATCCAACGCAATCATAGGTTTGAACGTTGTTTTCAATTTAGACTTGTTTATATTTTTTCGTTTGGGCTTGTATTATATTTTCCTTCGGGTTTATATGATCCGTTCATCATTTTTTGGCTCTTTCAAATACAAGAGTCTATACTAAATTGAGGTAAATTATATGGCCTTCCAAATACCGTTTCGATTCCTAACATCACTGAAGAGACATTAATTGTCGAAATCCGGATATGGTGTACAAATTTTTGCACCTCATGTTTGCGGTATACCATCTTTTCCGCAAGTTTATTGTTTTCTGTTTGGTAATAAATTAATAATAAGATCTATTTTGTTACATCTTGTGATCTGTTTATATGGCAATCGCCAATGGCAGTCAGCAGGGTTTAAGAACATCAGTTGTTCGACCTGCTAGTCAAATGCGTTTTGTTAAAATATACTTTTTCACTCATTTGGTCTTTTGAAAATGTTGTTTGTGCTGTATTTAGACCCCTCTACCAAGAAATTTGTTTTGCATGCACACGTATAAAAATTGCAGTTTTTATCCAACTCAATCATAGGTTTGAACGTTGTTTTCGATTTAGACTTTTATATATTCTATATATATATATATAATTACTCTAAATATCAGCACAACAATGTTAAATCTGCAAATTTGCGAAAGCAAATTTTTGTTCTTCCCTCGTCGGGATTCGAACTCATGCTATTGGGATATCGAGACAACACGGCCTGAACTGTGTCCAGCACTCTAGACCACTCGGCCACCTAGACTGAACTAATAATTCAGCTTTCGGTGGCCTAGTGTTACACAGTACATGAGATATTAGGCATGAAGATGGAATTGTTTGCAGATTAGCTAAATATCTATCGTAAAGGATCGTAAGATACAGTCACAAAAATAATTATTTTGATAAGTACGTCTAAACTAGTGACAACTCTACAACAGATCCATCCATTGGAGCACCAATGAAGGTGATACATGGCTGAAAACACATATTATATTCATAATTACATATATATATGTCTAAACAAGTGACAACTCTACGACAGATCCATCCATTGGATCACCAGTGAAGGTGATACACGGCTGAAAACACATCAGCACAACAATGTTAAATCTGCAAATTTGAGGAAGCAATCCCGGCGAGGGAAGAACAAAATTTTGCTTCCACAAATTTCCAGATTTAACATTGTTGTGCAATATAAATATATACACATGTATATAAATATAAACAAATATTTTGTTCATTCATATCATTTACTAATTGGTTGTTTTGTTCAACATTTTATACATTCTATCTAAGTATCAAAGGAGCCTAGTGTCTATTATTTGTATTAAGATGAATAATACCAACTACCGCATAATAATGTCATAGTGAACATTTCTGCCCCTATCTTTAACGGTTTTCAAGGTAATAGATAATACTTGCATTTTACCCCTATGTTCTATCTTTTAGCCTTGACGGCCATGTAGGTTAACAGGTGGGATAATTGGACAAAGTTTTTTTAATAAGATACCCCAAAGATCGTTGTGGTCAAGTTTGGTTCCAATTGGCCTTGCAGTTTCAGAGAAGACCTGTCATAAAGGTAAACAGAGGATGACAGACAGAAGTGATGCCAATAGCTCATGCTGGCTGTTTGGGTAAGGAGAGCTGAACATAGGACATAAAATCAGCTACCAAATATAAAACTTTGAATTTTAATCAATTATTTTCAAACTGAGAATAAAATAATGTAAATAGCAATTTTCTTAACACTATAATAATATTAATCTTACCAATTTTACTGCACCAGATGCCTATTTCGACAAGTAATGTCTCCAGAGTGATGCTGGAGGCAAACATATTTAAAACTCAAAATTTAATTCAAATGTTGAAGAGCTGATAAAACAATGAAAAAGTCCAAAAGTAAAGTCAAATCCTTGCAAGGAATCAGAGCTATGTATAACTAATAAAGACATGATAGATACTATAAATCTTTTAACCTCCTGTCCAGCAAACCCCGACATGTCTCCTTCTGTTCATCATCTCCGTGATACCAAACCATTTGTCATTTCTAGGATCATAACATTCTATACTTTTGAATGGGTCTCCAGAAGCTCCTCTGCCACCAACACAAAACAAAACGCCTGGAATACAAATCTTCAACAGTATAGCCTATGAGTTTAAACAAAACAGAATGCCTGAAATATAAATCTACAAAGTTATAGCCTATGAGTTTACACAAAACAAAATGCCTGAAATAGAAATCTTCAAAGTTCTTACCTTTGTGATTTTATACCTTTATAATTAAATGTTTTGACAATAGTCAAATTGAAACCATTACTAATTTTTTTATTCGCCTTGACATGCTTAAAGAAAATCAAAGTGCTTGTAAGCACTGAAGGGTAAAGATTGCTTTAATCTATCAGTGGGAAGTAAAATTAAACATTGCATTGTATAAAGCATTGGCTGTGGTTGATTCAACTACAATTATAGACAAAGGAAGATAACTCCAATTTTAAAGATTACTATAACAATGACATCATTGATATTTTTAGAATAGATATTAGATTCCTTCACCTTGCACAAGTTACCGGTATGTGATTTTCTTGACAAGTATAATATCATTTTGTAACTTAAATATCTGCGCATGTATTTCATTGATAAATTTCTGGAAATGCTCATGGATAGGATGTATAGAATGTTGTGATCAATGCACTATATTTTATGTATCTCAAAAGTACAAATGTAGTGATAAACCTTGGAAGATTTAGATATCAAGTCTGAGTACCATAGGGTTTTGATTGAATTTCATGCAATCTTTACCCAATAAAAAAATAATATCATAATTTACATTTCAAAATGCAACTCAGTTCCTATCAAACTACATGCTCACATAAAATGAAAATTAAATTCCTATTACTCAGCTCTGCAATCATAATCTAGATGCGATTTTATAATCAGAATTTGAAATAGGTTTAGTGTGTAACATGTAACTCATACCTGCACAACTTTTCCTAGGTCTGGTCTGTTCTGAAGGTCTGACCTTGGATACAAGACTTGCCAAGGACATTTGATAGGATTTAGCATCATCAAGTAAATCTCTACAATCTAAATCTTTCTTCACCAACTCTTCACTGGCCACATTCTCCACAAGGTAGGTTGGACTTAACAATGCTAGTTTTATATGCGATAACAATTTGGACATATTAGCTTTACGACTTTCTGGGTCTTCTTTGACCCACTTAAGGACAGCTTCATATACTTGTGTTTCATCTGTAACATTTAAGTCTTGAGACTTCACAAGACATTCAAGATGATTGAAAGACATGTCTTTGAATTCGTCAGTTTCAACAACATCATTGAAGTTGTCAAGAATGTAATGATCAGCCATTTTCATTAGTTCTGCGTGATTATGCTGTTCTGCAAAATTGTGTACATCAATACAATTGGTAGGGTGAAGATGATTCTCCATGAACTGACAGCATGCTTCAATAACAGTATTTATCTGCAGTATGGAAGCAGCATACAAAATAGGCTGCACTGTTTCTATTGTAAATGTTATTTTTCCAGTATAGGCAAAATTTATAAGTTTTGACATTGCACTTTCCTCTATGTCATGAATAGTGACAAATTTTTGTTGACTTTCTGACATTTCTGACATAAACATAACTCTGAAGTACTCACTGACACATGACAACACAATTTTATGACATTTAAATTTGGTATCTCCAACTTTTAATTCTATATCAAACAAATCGCCATTTTTATAAAATTCTTGAAATGTTTTAAAACAAGATTTGTAGTGATGTTTGGCATCAAAATTTTGAGACATTGCAGAGTCAGCAGCAAGATTTTCTGAAGTGGCCATTTTGTTCAACCGCTTTGACGGTGATCGGGAGACTGGCTTTGGTGGAATAGGTGGTACCAACTTTTCTGAAAGACTGTCAATTCTCTTGGGTAAAGGTGGTTGCTCTGCCATATTGAGGTTGTTTACCAATTGTCTTATAGAGAATTGTAAACATTATATATATCTAGGCAAATTGCTCCAATCTTTAAAGCTAAAAGAGAAAAGAAAACTTTCAACTATTGTGTATATATTTATCACATGTTGTAAAAACATTAATAGCATGTGAAAAGAAGCGTTGCATATATATGTTGATGAGATATCAACCCTGATTAAAATTAACATTTTATTAAACAAAATTAGATTTTCAACAAGTACCAATACATGTAAAGCACTGAATCTTCCTAGATCTATAAAATTACATCATTCTCATTCTAAACAGTTTGAAATATCAATTACTCCCAATGGCCACTTAGTACAAATTAGTACAGATATATATTTCTAAGAATTAAGATTAGCTGATGGCTGTCATTAAAAAAAACTATAGCCTCGGGCATTGCTAACACATATACATGGGCATTGCTACCCATTACCCCAGTTGTTTCACATGAGTTTTCCTTAGTTCCGTAATTGTTCTCAGTGAAAAATTGAATTCTGCAGATTACTCATGATGTCTATAACTATTTTTTTTTTTTTAAATGTGCAATCCACAAACGATTTTAGCCTTTTATGCTGATCATTGGCATTTATGTTTAGTAAATGAAGCATATTGACCATGTCTTCAATGAAGGGGATTACTGACCAAGTTTGCAAATGACCCACATTGGTGTAAAGCTGTCTGTGACATTACACTTGCGACATTGAGCGCCACTTTATTATTTTATTCTAATTTCTCTGTCTCTTGAATACAAACTTCTTATATTTGACTACCTTGCAAATACCTTGTATTTCAATTTTCAATAAAACTTTTTAAAATAATAACGCTAGCAACATTAGCGCCAAATTTGATTAATTTCAGATTCTCTGTTTTTTTATTAAAAATGTCTTATCTTTGACTACCTATATTTCTACCAAAGGCCCCTACAACTTTTAACAAATTTATCAAACTTCCAAATTTCAATCAAACTTTTTTAAATAATATAAAAATGTTGCTTTCAAAATTCACTTTACACTTTGTTGTCTAAATTCATTCCTATAGATCTGATTATTTAACACCCTTCAGTACCCTGTTCACCATTCAGCTTTTGCCTCAGGTTGCACTTGGATACTTCAGGGTGTTAAAATACCCATATTTAAGGATATAAACATAGATACATGTAAACATGCATTTTAGGGCCTTTTATAGCTGACTATGCAGTTTTGGCATTGCTGATTGTTGAAGGCAGTACAGTAACCCACAGTGTCATTTGGTCTCTTGCAATTGTGAAGCTGTGAGCATGTACAAATGTATGACATGTCCATTCTCAATTTTATTGCCATTACGTCCATAGTATATATCGGCCATACCTTGAAAAGAAGTAACACCATACTTTGTGTAGACACATCATCCATGTTTTTTTGTTTACGAAATAAATTTTATCTATGAAATTTAAAAAAAAATACCTGTAGATGGTTATTGTGACTTTGACATTGTTTGTCATGTTTTCATTTGTTATACACTTTGTTTACGCATAATATATACTAGAACATCAGGCCATCAATGGAAAAAATACTAAAAGTATTGACGATAATCTTTACAAGGTATGGACGATATGTCCCATGGTCCATGGACGATGTGGCGGTATGGCCGACACATCCTATGGACGTCATGGAAATATAGCCATAGTGCATCTCGAAAGCGCTGTGAGCTACTTGGATGGATAGTACGTACATTTTTTTATCAGGATCAGTACGCAGTCCAAATAACCATGACGTCTTCAAAGGCTATTTCAATTGAATTGGGTCACAGAAAAAAATATAATAGCCTTTCAAGACGTCATAATTATTTGGACTTGATTGTACGCAGCCGGAAAAAAAGAAAAGGGGAAGAGTGTTGTAGACCAGAAGATCTTCTTTGGCTCAATTGGTTCCTATATCCATGAATATATTTTACCCTTTATATTAGTTGGTAAACAAGATTGGGGCGATTTTTTATATACACTGACTGTCTCTGACTGATAGTGTATAACTGCTAGTCTTCAGTACTAGTAGGGATACTAGCCTTTTATTGTATGCTTATGAAACTGTGCATGCTGTGACACTATCCAGATTTTTGTATGATGCTTCAACAAACGTCCATCAAGAGGATGACATTAATTAGTAAAGAAAACTTCATTTTCTTTTAACAAAATTATATAAATATTGCGAAGAGCAGGTGCATTTTCCACTGCAGTTGAGTCCCCTTATTTCGTGACGAATTTATAACAACTCGCCCCATGGAAATTCGCCCCACTTTTCATCAACTCGCCACACTTTTTAAAAAATCGCCATAACTCGCCCCACTAATATAAAGGGTAAAATCCCATTGCATATAGGTCTGAGAACTCGCCCCACTTATGGGAAGGGTTAAATTCCGTTGAATAAAGGTCTGCCAACTCGCCCGTCTTATGAAAAATAGAAAAATCCCGACTAAGTTCGCGACCCCATTTCTTTCATATGAAATGCCGAAATGGAAAACATAACCAATTCAATCCTTCCAAAGTAGACACATTCTCTGTTCTAAAGGCGTTTAAGTGTATCTACCAACTTTTTATCATTTTAGAAATAACACTTTTGTTACGGTTCAGTATATAGGAGAGTGACATTTTTTTCTAGATTTGTGTTGCTAGTTAGCGTTGAATGAATACAATTGTCAAATTCATGTCCACCGATTTTACTCAAATTCTCATTTTTGATTTATAACATACTAATACATATATATCCAATATAACGAATTATTAAGTTACATTGGTAGTGTACAACTTCGTGTAGACGTCATATTTAATGAAGTGTATACACTTTTCAGTAGGAGGCAAACAATCATGAAATTGTATAATATTATTATGGAATATGACATAGTTGATATCAGAAGTCCATTACTAGACTAGTAATGGACTTCTATTGATATTAATATTCATTTTAATTAAAAGGTTTTCTAAAATTATTTACTTATTTTCAGTGTAATTTTTATATCTTCCATAGTCATTAACTAAATAAGTCTGTTAAGACCGAATAAGATGGACATTCTGCAGTAATATAGGCAAGAAAACTTTCTTTGCTGCTTAAAAAAGAACATTGTAAAAGAAAATGGATTTCATTCTCAACATCATCAAAGAAACATCTGTCACACATTTCTTTTAAAGGCACACTATAGTTTTAGTGCATTGCAATTTCACTGACCTTTAACATGTTTAACATGTTTAACTTGTGGTAACTTATTCTGAACTTAATAAAAAATCTATGGACATTAGACATAAGACATAAAGATTTATTTAGAGTTGGTATAGCATAAGCAATAATTACAATCATAAGCTCTGAAGAGCCATATAGGCTTTTTCCAATAATGAGATCTTAGATTTTTCTATTCAGTGTAGCCCAGATCTAATGCTATTTCTGAATATATACATAACCAAAGGGTAGCGAGTAAGTTCGCACATAGCAGCAAAATTTGAACGTTGGTTTATCTTTTCAACTGGAAAAATCATTTGCTAGTTTCATGATCATGATGATGGCGGACCAGAAAATCATGAAAAATATACGGATCGACGTGTTCTAGAGAAAGCTGTTCCTCTTCAAATTATTATCCATTGCTTTTTAACAAAATGGATCAAAATCCTTGCTAACAACAAAAAAAGAAAAAAAGTATGATACTGTAACTAGCACACGATTGGGATTTAAAGATGACCCGAATCGGATATGAAAATCAAACTACTTGTCTTAATGCTAATAGATGTACATAACATTGTATTTTTTTTCTAGTTTCAGCGGGGTGAATTTCTATCGTATCAGTATTCTGTTTTAGTGAAAGTAATTTTTGTCATGAACCTGCCATAATATTCATCATGTTGTGGGCTGTAGTTGGAAGAAGAAGCTGCACATCTTTCATATTAAAAGCTCGTTCAGGTCCGTTGTTTTTCTCTAATTATATGACTTTCACAAGAAAAAAAAAAATAAAAGCAGAATGTGTCTGAGAACACGAATGTCCCCGCTCAAGCTTTGTAATTCTCCGAGTTAAAAAGGGACAAAATTCTAGAACGGCAAATGATTTACTGCCCTAATTCTAACTCTGTCTGCGTATTGTGGATTTTAGAATTTTGTACATGTGTGTATGGGTTTCTTAAAGTTTCGAGGAGACAAACTTATGTTTAAGTGTGAAATTGCAAAAAAAAATGCAATTGCCAAGTTTGAAAATTGGGGCATAACTCTAGAACGTCAAATGACCTAGTGTCCCAATTCAAACTATGTCTGCGTGCACGTGCTGTGGCGTTTAGCATTGTGTATGAGTTTCATAAAATGTGAAGTAGAAGGCAAACTTAATATGTAAGAGTGCAGAAACGAACAAATTTGCAATTCAATAGAAAATAAGGGGCATAACTCTAGAACAATAAGTTACTTACTGACCAAATTCGAACTCTGTCTTCAGTTTTGGATTTTAGAATTTTGAACGAGTTTCATAAAATTTGGAAAAATAAGACAAACTTAATTAGGTTAGATTGCGGAAACGACAATGGGACGGATTGAACTCAGAGGACGGACGATCAAGGGTAACACTTAATACCTTCGTTGAATACAGCGTGGGCACAAAAATGTTGAATAAAAATAAGATGTTTCGTCTTTTATAGATATCAAATTTGAAGAAAACCATTTCAGGACTTTCGTCTTCACATCCAAGCCCATCATTATTGCTAATGGAGACACATTTTTGAAAAAAAAACAATCGGGTACAGAATAGCCAATTTTTAATAATCAAATGAATCGAGTCTTTTAAAAACATTTTTGAAAGAAAACATCTAAAAGTTAAAGGAGCAGGTTACAAATTGTCATGTTCATCCAGGTCTTTTCATTTTTTGCGTTTAACTTGCTTAAATCAACAATGTCAAGCCAGAAACAAAAATTTCTGAATAATAAGTTGTAATTTCATGTATTACTTGAACATTAATTTGTTTTTCAAGACAACTTCAAAATATTAAAAAAAAGACTAGTATATGCATGTCGGATAGAACGACATATAACACGTCCGTTTTATTTTAATGAAAAATTAAACGGGGCATTAGCTGTGAAATTCATATTCACCGATTTGACTCAAATTCAATGTATAATAACATACTAAAACGTATATCCAAATTACAATAAGTCTGAAATAAACAGTTAGCAATGCATGTACTTGATATAATATATCAGAATTTCGTGTAATATTAGTTTAAACGCCATCTTATTAACTATCGAGATGACCTCCGAAAAACTGCCGACGTTCACATAAACATAAACATAAATGGATAGCGACCACGTGCTATTGGATTGAACCAAATTGGCTGTTAAAAGCGAATTATCATTTGATTATTTCACTTTTATCAATGATTGAAACAAACAAAATCATATTCTGTTTCTTTTTCATATTTCGTAGCTCTTTAAGACTTTTGAGTATATATCATTGTATATGGACAATATATTTTGCAATAGATTTTTTTTATTATGTTGACAAATAAAAGGAGAACGACCACTTTTGGACAAATACATATGGCCTTGAATTTCAACTTCTAAACATCTTAATATATCAAACAGGCCATCGAGGTATTTATCAAAGGCTCCAAAGACAGCACAGTACCCAGAATCTATACTTCAAGACCATCGTGTATTATTTGTGAAGTTGATACGGAATATTTATTAACAAGGTCTTGGTACCTTCCGATGAACTTATTTTTAGAAAAAGAACGCCGAGACGTAAATTATACTATTTTGAAATTGTTATAAAATTTTCTTATTACAGATTGAAAAAATTGACGAGAACCGATGCTACAATACAAATAATGCATATTTATGGTGTCTTTTCTAAGGTAGTTGAAATGCGTTGTGGAAAAAAGAAGATATTTTGTATTTATAGTTTTATGACAACTTTGAGTCTGACCGTCCATCTGGTATCTTTCGCCCTCTTCTATATCCATGCGAAATAATTTGTCGTAATTTAGAACAACGTTAAAAAATTAGGGTCAATTTAAGTCCTTCGTGAACCTACATCTTTCTTATTCTCAAATCTAAAATTGCACTAAAACTGCAAAAATGATGTAAAATAAGTTTCAGTTTATAAAGATTTTTTTTTTAAATTTTTAAATCCACCAAATGGGACTGATTTTCGCACTGGAAAGACCATGTATTCTTAAAAAAATCAAAGTGGAAATTTTATGCAATCCATTTAGTAACAAGAGGCTGTCAGAGAGACAGCAAATCTGATTTTCCTGCAGAGGTCAAACCCTGAACAGTTGAGCAAGTATAAAGACACAGCATTTAATCTTAAAACAGCTCTGAATTTGAATTGTGTTTGAATATTTGATACAGCATGGGTTTGTGACACAAAATAAATGTGGTCAAAGAACTGAAAAATTTGAAATTGAACATTTACCTATTATGGTCCAATATCCAAAATAAAAGTACATTGCTAGAATCAGCATATATCAAAGAACCCCAAGAATTCAATTTTTGATGAAATACTTCTTAGTTAAACCATTTCTGTTCAAATGGAAATAACTCAAACTTTATTTCCATGAACCAATAATGTAAATCAAAAATTAAATATGATTTAACTATAGACTCTAAATTAAATTAGATATGATGTAAAGAGATATGATCTTATATTTATTTTTAAATTATAATCAAATATAATCAATAGTTTTCTAATAAATCTGTCACTCAAATTATAATTGGGCGACTGCATTGACAATTAACAGATGTGTCTGTTATCTTACCACTTACATGTAGTGTATAAATCAAAATCAAACTTTATATAATTTTTATATAGTTGATAGTTCCAAATATTTTTTCTTTCATTTGTAACATACTAATAAAGATCTGCAACTTATCTTATCTTAATTTTAACTTTTTATACGCCCGTTTACGGGACGTATTATGGTACCATTGTCCGTCCGTCCGTCCGTCCGTCCGTCCGTCGTCAACATGTCGGACATTAACTCAAAAATTACAACTTTGGTGAATTGTTTATATCTATTGACGTGAGCTCCCTTTTGTTTTTTTTTATAAATTTTAGATTTTACGTTTCGAGTTATGGTACACAATATTTCAATCTTTCAAGAACCGTAACTCAACTTTTTAATCTTTTAAGACTGTGACCATAACTCCTGATCGGTAAAAGTGAAAATCATGAATATCAAACTTGACCTTCATTTTGTCATCAGTAACAACATATTAAAATTTAATAAGCATTGGTTGAACGGTTCATGAGTAAATGCACAGACACGACTAGAAACGCCATTTTTTTCAATATTTCAAGAACCGTTACTCCTGAACGGTAAAAGTGAAAATCGTCATTATCCTACTTGACCTCCATTTTGTCATCAGTAACAACATTTTAAAATTTGAAAAGCTTTGGTTGAATGGTTCATGAGTCAATACAACGATATGACTGGAAACGCCATTTTTCAATCTGTCAAGAACCATAACTCCTGAACAGGAAAAGTGAAAATCGCCATTATTGACCTTGACCTCCATTTTGTCATCAGTAACAACATATTTAAATTTGAAAATCTTTGGTTGAACGGTTCATGAGTAAATGCACAGACACGACTAGAAACACCATTTTTCAATCTTTCAAGAACCATAACTCCTGAACGGTAAAAGTCAAAATCGTCATTATTGAACTTGACCTCCATTTTATTGTCAGTAACAAGCTTTGGTCGAACGGTTCATGAGTAAATGCACGGACAAAATTTGGCCGCCGCCGCGCGCCTGCCCGCCCGACCGCCCACCGCACATCCCCAAATCAATAACCGATATTTTCTTCGAAAATCCGGTTAAAAACATAAGAATGTTCATGCATTCATTAAAAGAAATGGAGATAGAATGGCTCGCCATGTATATATACATATTAACCTGTTTTATTTGCCAGTTGAAAGTACAAATCAAAACCACTAGATATAATTATGGTTATTTTATTTTACTTAAGAAACGATTGTGTTAATTATACATGTAATGACGGACTTAAAACGTACAATCTATTTCCTTGTTGCAACTAATTAATTGAAGTTTTCCTGTTCACAATACGTAAGATGGGTCGATTTAACAAAAATGTATCTAGTAATATAAAAAAGTAAATATTATACTTGCATCTTATTGTATTATTTGGTAGACAATGGTAGCAGCTGGTGCCTAGCGTTCTTTCTCCTGGATTAAAAACTACATGTACATACCAAATTTTAAGGATGTAAACATGTTTGCATTATAATAGGAGTGAAATAATTAACGCTTAACGTATTATGGAAATAATCGATTTATTCAATGCATTTATATTTGAATTCCATGGAACACAATCTTATTGAACTGTAGCAAACGAATGAGTTCGTAAAGGGTACGCTTTTATGTAATATACATGTATGTGGCTGAACATAAATATTTATAAAGATAATAACTATACTTATGATTTTAACTGTTTCTTTAATGTTAAGTATACTGATTTCGTTTTAGTCGGTGATTTTACACTGCATCTGTGGCGCGCTTACACTGCATTTGCTTTTTAGTGATTATATGCAGTGTGAGTTTTGTTAGTTATGTTGGTTTCCAATTAACGACTGCCATACAGTTGAGACGTTTACGCGCCATTATAAGTACGTATAAAACACAATTGGGATAGACCCTGAGATAGAGAAAAGAACGCAAGCGACATAAGAATATATATTATGATACTCAAAGAAATAATTCATGCGGGCTTGAATTTATACCGATTTTACCACGGATTGGCCCTTGAAGCTAAATATTTTACCACGAAAGATAGCAATATCGGCATACAGGGCCAACCCGTGGTAAAATTATTGTAAATTCAAGTCCCGTGAATTATTTATACTCTAACAGGACAATATAACGTGTCATTTTTGGGTGGTCGAAGCGCTATAGGCGAAGGCAAACATTTGCTGTTCCCATCATTAAACCACTATTAGTATTGACTAATGTTTGGACGAAGATAAATGATTATTCAATCTGATTGAAATATAGAACTCGGATTTCGTTACACTACATGTAGATGCTGTAGTGAAAGGAGCGAAACCCGAGTTCTATAGCTTAATTAGATTGAATGATTTAATTTATCTTAATTTTATTTAAGAAAATTAGATTCCAATAGTGGCTCTAGAAACAAAACTGTGATATTTGAATGGTCAAATCAATGATGTAGATGAATATAATATTGAAAACCAAACAATCCAAACTTATGTGCCAAATCTAAATTAGGCCGTATATTCTTGGTGGTGGAAACACCCGAGTGATACGAATAATCTTAATATTTTTTGAACTTTGAATTTTAGAACTTTGATATTACCATGTTACAGTAAATCTGTAGATCTAATGACAAGGAAATGGGGGAAAAATCGATCGTTTTTCTATCTTTCACAAAGACACAATAAGTGTTTTATTTTAAAACAATTTTTTTATCACTTTAGACGAGGAAGTATTTCTTTTTTCATGAATTTATTTCCTGTTGGCTTATTTACAAACGTATATAAAGTTTGTAAATTCTTCAAAACAATTTTCGCATCAGTGTATGGAAGATAAACAGAGGAAAGTTGTATAAAGAACCAACCGTACGTATTTTCAATTTTTAGCTTGGTATTAATAAAAAAAAATACAGTCCTTTAACATAATTATTTGTAAAATAAAATCTGTTTATAATATAATCAAAATATTTTCTACTTTCTCTGTGATGTTTTGGATATTTTAATTCAGACAGTAAACTGTGATTGGCGAATCGCTGATATGAAAAATGTTTATTGAATATTTTTACCGCCAGTGGTCACAGCAATAAGTGTGTGCCATTGGACGTTAAGCAACCAACAATCAATCAATTGTGTTACCATTGATTATCATTATCAGAACTCGAATATGATAAGAAGGTTCGACCTCAACATATACTCATAATTTGGCATTGTTCTTATTACGGAAAAAGGGGCTGAATTCAGACCTTTGGGTGTTTATCTACTCATTACAAACATTTGAATTAAATTAGGGAAAATCTTTAACTTAGATCAGTCTCCAAAATCAGTTGATCCTTATTGGGGTTTTTATTATATGTTAATTCAATTTGATATATTTTTTTCGGGACCAAGTATACAGCTGGCAAAAGTTTCGACACTAAATATCACTGAACAGTTAGTTTTTTACTTAGAGTTATTTAAACAAACAAAAAACAAACTTCTGTTGTCGATTCTACTGATTAACTGTGTTATATTGATAACTGCACAGTTTCAGGAATATGAATCTAAATAGAGAAATATAAGATAAATAAGTTCTGAGAATTTTCACTTGAAGACAATATATAAATGTTTACACAATTTATTTTGCACATGTATTAATGCCGGCATCATCAGTATAACAATAAGAAGATGAGACAACTCTCCACCAGAGGCCAAAAACGTAACAACTATAGGCACGCGTATGGCCTTCTTCAATGAGCAAAACCCATACCGCATAACAAGCTATAAAACGCCCCGAAATGATAACTGTTGAACAATTGAAATGAAAAAAAATACGGCCTGATTTATGTACAAAACATTAAACAAAAGTAAAATATAATATACAGCAACAAACGACAACCACTGAATTACAGGCTTCTGACTTTGACAGTGATATACAGAATGTGGCGGGGTTAATCATTGAAATCCGAAACGTCAGTACAGACACGGTCGTAGCGAACGAGCTGGGATATATGAACACCGTAAGACGGTGCCAATTGAACATCAATCACTTTTTATCTCAGTTTACCTTTTATAACCTAATTACGTTAGAAATATGTGAAAATGCTATATTCTATGATACATGTAACTGGCTTTGCTTTTATTTTCTGAATTACTTAAGTGTCAGTGATGTTGGAAAAAACATGAATCATTTTGATTTTAAAGCGCCTCCACGTGTAGCCAATTTTGTCATTTTTGACCTTTTTTCAGTCCACATATCGACACAAATTGATTTTATACTAACAAATGAACTTGATTACCCTATAATTTTAGCATCATTAAAACGAAAATATTCGAAACCATGTAAGTTTTAAACAAGATTTTTAAGATATTTTTCTTAGAAAAGTTGCAATTTGAAAGTGAAATTAAAGAATATTTATCGTAGTTTTACGTGCATTAATTCTTTTCAAGTATATATCAATACAAAAAGTGTGATCTTATATCTCTGGAAATAACTGTAAAAATGCTACATTTTTACTAATTTTCTAATGCACTTTAACTAGTCCTAAAAGCATACAAAATTTCATAAAATCACAAATACCATACGCGTACGCATAGGCCAGTTCTTTCATGGCACTTTCATCAATTACTCATTTCAAAAAACATTTTGTCCAGTTATTCCAAATACATGAACAAGTGCTGTGTGAATCACAATTGGTATCTAGTGAATTATACGATTATTTGTGTGTGATTTTCTTATTTCTTTGTAAAATTTCTTTTATTTTTGAAATTATCGCCACTGCTTAACATACTTTAGATTTCAATTGCTACAGATATATATATATATATGACCATGTTTGCTTACAGATTGTTATCGGAGAACACGTGATCATGAAGCAAATTCATTTGATGTGTTTGTTTGGATTGGGTCTGCAAACAGTGAATACACGTTTTAACACAACAGATGAATATTGTTTCAAATCACACTGCACGTGTAACAAGAAACAGAAAAACGCGACCTGCACAGGACTTGACTATGTTCCACATGTCCCGAAATTTGTTGAACAATTTGAATTAATCCGTAACAATTTCAGCAATGTCAAATTTTCTAGATGGTTTCTATCAAATATTACCAAAAATAATATCAATATATTCAAATTGATCGGGAATTCTATAGATTATTTTGAAAAGGACGTCTTTGTTGATTTTATTTCTTTAAAATCACTGGCAATTTCAGAGGAAAAACATTTGAATGTAACTAGTCTTAATAAAGCGTTGAATTTCGTAAATACAACGCGTCTCAAGAACATTAATTTATACGGAAACTATTGGAAACTATTTCCTTTTGATGTTTTTGAGGCAATCAGTCTGCGAAAAGTGACATCCATATCGCTGGAAAAAAATCAGCTGACTGAATTCGTGTTCCCTAATTGGTATACTGATTTAAAAAACTTAAAAAAGATCAACCTATCAAAAAATAATATCATATATTTAATTCTGGATGATAATTTAAAATTATTGGCTAAAAGAATTGATCTCTCAAGGAATGATATCGTTCGTATTCCAACTTTTTGTGATAAAATGAACAAAAGCAAAGTTCCGAAGCTTCGAAGTCTGATTTTGGATGGCAATGCTATATCTTATTTATATCCAACATGTTTCAAGTGTTTGCCAGCATTGCAAAGCATAAGTCTAGATGCCAATAGATTAACGGTTTTAAGGAATAATACCTTTTCACAACTACCACAAATAAGATATGTTTTCTTTCAGTTTAATTATCAGCTGAAAACAATAGAGCCTACCGCTTTTAACAGCACGTCGTTGATCAGTGTATATTTTGGATACAACAATTTTCGATTTGACAAGACCAATAACAAGAACGCTAGGTTTAATGCAGAACATATATTTAAACACTCGCCGTCATTACAACTTTTAGATTTAACGAATAACTACCTGCCGTCTGACAAAACTACACTAGTTCTGATGTTTGGTCATTTGGATGAGCTGAAATATTTGATTTTACAAGCGGTAGGTTTGAAAGAACTTCATCCTAACTTTTTTAGAAATTTGACATCCTTAGAGAAAATAAATCTTGAAGGAAATTTCATAAATTCTTGGGCGCCAGACACTTTTGCTAGTATGCGTAGCATAAAGTATATAAACTTAAGAAATAATTTGATACATGCACTGAACAAATCATCTTTACCTGAAAACATTTTGCACCAACTAGAAAAATTGGACCTTGCAAAGAATCCATTTACTTGTACATGTGACCTCATGTGGTTCAGAAACTGGATTCGAACAACAAAAGTAGACTTGTCCTCAGCTTTTCCACGAGCGTACACGTGTAATTTTCCTGCTGAAATGCGAGGTCGATTAGTTATTAAATACAATCCAACCCAAGAGAGTTGCGAACAATCTGATCCGTTTATAGTAATCGCAATAATTTTGTCTTCATTTGCATTTTTGGTGATAATTGTAATATTATTAGCTTACAAGGGTCATACCTATATAAGGAACTATTGCTATATTATGCGATTGCGTAGACTTCGAAAACAGGGATATTTACGTCTTAACAATAGTGATGATTTTGAATTCCATGCGTTTGTAGTGTACTGCGATGCTGATAGGGAATGGGTTCATAGTGAGTTCATCACACGACTGGAAAATGAAAGTATTAAATTATGTGTTCATCATCGTGAATTTGATCCGGGAGTCCCAATCACAGAAAACATAGACAAGTATATGAACAAATCATGGAAAGTTGTGATTATAATGAGTAACGATTTTGCTAGAAGCGATTGGTGCCAATGGGAATGTGATTATGTTCAAGAAAGAAGACGTCGACAAGGAAAAGATGCATGTGTTCTAATCATGCTGAAGGCGATTGATGCATATCATATGACCAGTGGTATACGGTCCTTGTTGCATACAACGCCGTACCTACGCTACAAGAAAGGCATAGGGGAAGCTTTGTTTTGGCAAGCAGTGCTGAATACTCTTAGAAGACCACTTAGTGTGCCACCTATGGCCATTTAATATGTCCATGGAAAGTGTAACGATTATTCATCTTCTGTTGTTAATTGTCATTTCCGTGAATAACACGTTCCGTTGACTCCTTAAACATTAACATAAACTTTGTTATCATAATTGTTTTATTGATAAAATTTATAATTATACTGTTGTCATTTAGTCATGAGTCTGGTATTTTGTAAGCTAAATACCAATTCGCTGATTTTTATAGTTTAAAATAAAACTACAATGTTTTTTTAATTTTTTTTTTATATTGAACAAGATGCTGTCAACCAGCACTAGTACTGCTCATAACATTTCTGTACGAAATAAACACCAGACATTATTTTAAGTAGTACATCTAGTTTTTTGTTAATTTGTTGACAATTGGCGTATAAAAATGTGATGCATGCATAATTAAGGATAATACTAGTACCTGATTTGTATGAACTTAAACTTTAGTTAAAAGATTTAGAAAGCTGTGAAAATTGAAACAAGATATGGTTGATTAGATAGGGGTTTTGAATTGGTGGTCGGACACCTGTAGACTATGATATTATCATAACAGAAAAGTATGTAAGTTCTTTGAGCATGTTTTCCTAAACTATGAGCATTCTACGATATTTGTTTTTGATTTTGTACTTTTACTTTGTATTTTGTTGTCTGTTATACCGATATCACATATAGCAACGCATTTCCTTGTATTAACATTTAGTTTTAACTTTGTACTTTGTATATTTGTTGTCTGTCATATCGGTATCATATAGCAAGGCGCGTTTCCTGTATTGATTTTCATTATAATTGTATAACTTTCTTCTGTGTATCTATTAATATTGTGTTAACTTTGTACTTTGTATTTTTGTTGTATGTCATATCGGTATCATATAGCATTGCGTGTTTCCTGTATTGATTTTCATTATATAATTGTATAACTTTCTTCTGTGTATCTTTCGTTTTCCAGCTGATCAAGATTAAAAAGAAACTTTGGCGGAGGAGGGTAGAGAAATATAAAAAAAAAAAAATACTTCCAGCCCGCCACATGTCCATTTCCGTGTGCTTCTCCCAAGTCAGTGTCTATCAGTGGCGTAGCAAGACCAGTTTTAAGTGTACACCCGAACCTCTACGAGGGGTCTGAGGGCCTCAGCGGGTCCAGGTCATAGTACCTCCTGGTAGTGGGTTCGATGGGGCGAAGCCCTTGGAGGCTAACGAGTTATCGAGAATGAGATACCATCTCCGTCATTAAAATATCATTAACAATAAAATTGAGAATGGAAATGGGGAATGTGTCAAAGAGACAACGACCCGACCATAGAGCAGACAACAGCCGAAGGCCACCAATGGGTCTTCAATGCAGCGAGTAACTCCCGCACCCGGAGGCGTCCTTCAGCTGGCCCCTAAACAAATATGTATACTAGTTCAGTGATAATGGACGTCATACTAAACTCCAAATTATACACAGGAAACTAAAATTAAAAATAATACAAGACTAACAAAGGCCAGAGGCTCCTGACTTGGGACAGGCGCAAAAATGCGGCGGGGTTAAACATGTTTTTTGAGATCTCAACCCTCCCCCTATACCTCTAGCCAATGTAGTAAAACAAACGCACAACAGTACGCACAGTAAAACTCAGTATAAGAGAAGTCCGAGTCCGATGTCAGAATAGGAAACAACAGAAAATAAACAAAATGACAATAATACATAAATAACAACAGACTACTAGCAGTTACTGACATGCCAGCTCCAGACCTCAATTAAACTGATTGAAAGATTATGTCTTCATCATATGAATATCAGGCACAATCCCTCCTGTTAGGGGTTTAGTATTATACCGTCATAAAATATATGAGAAGAACATAACCCGTAACATACTTTAGGGTCTAATTTGTTTATTTTTTTTATGTTTTATCTATTTAACGTGTTGATTTGGAATCTAAATGTCAATGGTTTTAGAGAAAATGTCCAAACCAGTCACTGTACAATATGTTTAAAAGGAGTCGTGGGTAAAGCAATCAATCAACAAAAAAATCCTTATCTTGTGTAAATTTCGTTAATGGGCATCAAATATATAATTAATGTTCATAGATGTTCAGATGTAATATGAAAATTCGCAAAGGGTTCGTGGAACCCTGGTTCTCGCATGGGATTGCTTTCTGCAAGTGAATTCATTTATCAGTCCATTACAGGATTTAAAAAAAATCAAACATTGTCTTTAGATATTTTTCTTGATCAGGAATATTAGTTTCTGTCCAAGTTTTATGAAATCTATGAAGGTTTACAAATTTATCATGTAAAAAAAACCAATCCCAGACCGTCTGTTTATTGCGAAAAGATAAGTCCGTCTGTCAGTATGATACTAAAAATGTAAAAAATATACTATCAAAAATTTCCTCCAGATATTAATCACAAAAAAGCTTCTGCCAAAATTTCATAAAATTCGATGATGGTTTGACAAAGTAATGATTTGTAACCAATTTTATCCCCAGACTGTATCTATACTTGTTAACTGCAAAAAGCAATTCTTTTTATCAGTAGATAAAATACGGGATATTGAAAATATATTTTCATCATTATGCTCTGATCATGAAAGCTTCTGTCCAACTTCTGTAAATTTCATAAAGATACAAATTTATTGATATTTAAAAAACTTTAACCACATACTGCAGCGGCGTAGCTACCTAAGGCTCGACTAGGCACGTGTCTTTACATAAATTTACCAGTTTTATACCCCTTAAAAATAAAAAAAGAAAGAACTTTGTGTAGGAAATATGATGTCAACTGTACAGGAAATTGCGCTCAAATTTGATTATTCGGCTAAAAGTTTGACTGCTTTCACAGAAGAACTCTCCGAAAATGAAAATGGTCAAGAACATTTAGAACGCCGAACAAAGTTAAGAACGCTGTGTGAGACTCTTTGGTCAAGCCGTGCAGATCTCTGTTTACATTTCGAACAGCATTTGCAGTACATTGTTGTCTCTGTCCTGAATTCCCTGAAAGTCGACAATGATGACAAAGCAACACGGAGTATAAATGCATTCTTCGATTCGAATTTATCATAAGTCATGTTGTTGCAGAACAAATATTAAGCTCAACACTCGCCTTGACAAATTATTTACAGAAACCCGATATTGATTTGATAGACTGAGCTTTGACAGAAGATAAAATTGTCGTTCAAAGGCTTTCAATGAGGTGATGATACAGTTTGGGAGTCTTTGATTACAAGATCAACAGATATGGCAGCAGAACACGACATTCAGCCATCCGTTCCTCGTATCGATGGACGTCAACGACACAGAGATAATCACCCAATTCGTGATCCGTCAGACAATTGGAGAGTTTCGTTGTACTTCGTATTTCTCGACCACTTGGTTACTGAAATTAAAAATGATCGCTATATATTTGTTCATTTTCTGCGTCGTGAATTCTGTTACTTTCCCTTTGTTTTTAAAAGCAATTAATTATCTGATTCGATGTTTGCATTTTTGTCGAGCCTACGACATCTATGAAGAAAGAATTACAAGGCCGGTGTGCTTTTAACCAGTTCTTTTTATTTTATTTAGATTAAAATATTTGTTTACCAAAATTCAAGTGAACGCCCGGGCGTTTTGACGTAAACGTAGCTACGCGCCTGTCTATGATTGTTCTTTTTTTTATAGATAGATAGATATATTTTATTTAAAGTGCATCCTGATACAATATACACAATATAACACCACAATTGCAAGTCAATACATTATGAAACACTAACAATATTTATACAAGCATATAAGCATACAAAGAAAATATAAATTGTAAATTAATCTTTCTGAAATCTGAGGTTATTATAATTTGTTGAAACAACTTATGTTTCTTTATGTCATTGCATTTGTGGCTGTTTTTAATGTAAAAAAAGCGGAATTCTCATTTAAAAGTAGAATGGTATGTGACGTCTACATATAAATATACAAGGAAATCATAAAAAGGAATTGTTTCCCCTAGTCCGCAGGATTATTAATTAATTTATAAAAGTTAAAATGTATATTCAAATCTGTGTAAGTGTCTAATGCTACATGTAGATCTGTCTGCATAGATTGTTCCAAATATCAATAACACATTGAGTTCAAATATATATAATGTAATGTGAATCATTTGATGACTGTGTAATTGTGTTAAAATAATAGGCATCAGTTGCTTCCCTTAGTACAGAGCACTTGTATAATATATTCTAAATATGAGTCAAAGTGGCAATATTCTGTAAAAAAATATACATACATGTATATCAGTCATTTCAAAATAAAGTACAATTCCGAATTGGAACTTTTAAAAAAGTAAAGTGGTTTGATTACAAATTATATTTAAAGAACTAAAAACACATTGCTTTTCGAACATATTCCCAAAATATGCAATCTTATCGACACCTGAAAATGATTTTTTTTTAAATATTGTGCCAGATGGTGTCCGATTTTGTCCATCCTGTTACTTTTTTCAAATGTCAGAAAACATGATATTTAAAAAGAATATATCTAATCAAAGTATGTATCGTACTTATATAACAGTGTACATTTGACATCCCATTAACATTTATCCTTTATGAAGATTACCAAAAAAAAAAAAATCTGCAGATAGTTCAGAAAAATCATCATTTTTTTTATTTTCTAAAAGCTCTTAAAAAAAAGTTTGGTAAACTGGGCAGCACAAATCGACTAGTTTGTCCCTTTTTAATAGTATTAAATACAAACTTAGCCAAATGATCAGTTTTGTTCATAGTAAAAATTATTTTACACATTTTTGAAGGTAACAGGAACGAACAATGGCAGTAACAGGAAAGACAAGGAAGTAACAGTAAAGACAAAAAACTTCTGGTCAAACAAATCAATAAAAAAACAACTTTTGGGGATTTCCCAGGGATACAAAAACAAAAACTGAATAAATTGTATTCCCTGTTTCGTCGCTTACCCTGAAGTAAGAGCAATACCTGGTTGGCCCGAAGTCATAAAAATGGGTAAAGATAAAGTGACATGTCATTTTGTGAGTTCAGTGCTTTTACGATTTTGCTCAGTATGTTGGTCTTTATCTCGTTATGTAAATCTCACCCTGAATATGCATATAAATGTAAATGGACGCTTACCAATTACCAATCCGACCTTCCGTCATACAATCGTAGAGAAAGTACATTATAGGAGTAAAAACCAAAACTAATTTCATCTTTTCAAACTTTAAAGTAAAACTTCTTAAAAGAACACAACACAAGATTTGAACAAAAAGTCATGAAGAACATTTTCGATTGTCAATGATTAATATTGTAGTCTTGACAAGGTTTTTGTCCATATTTCCGGATCCACTTCATAATTACTGGAAGACCCTTTGATTTTCTTTGGCTTTGGAATAATGGCCAATATTCTTGAGTAGTTGTACCAGCACTTGTCTTTTACAGCTTTTGGCCAATAAAAGACATTCTTCTTTATATCTCTTTCAAGTCTTTGCATGCATACCACATATACATCTGAAGAATCTACGTCTTCCACATACCCTGGATATGGTGTGCTTTCATAGTCTACAATGACGTACTTGTGAAGACAATTTTTAGCGTCAGGGATGATTTCAACAGGCTCGTTTTTTTCCAATAAGGGCACAAAGTGGTTTGGAACCCAGTAGTTATTGTTCATATCGAGGTGAGTTGATGTCCACATAATATACAACGGTTTATCGGAATCTTTTTCCATTGGCTCTATTCTCCGATAAAGATCTTTCCGTACGTTAGGATTCCCTTTTTTGGGATACACTGACACTATTGGCCTTCTAATAACACTTGCCAGAGCAAAAATCTGCCATATGCCCATGTATGTTTTGGAATTTCTTATCTGCATTATTTCTCTCTCATATATATCTTCAATTGACCTTTCCGTCAATACAACGCCATGGGTGTATTCATCAGAATACATTGCGAAACTTTTTAAGA